GCACTGTGCCAAAACCTAAGAATCATCCGGACATTGTACCTTTTTTGCATTTGCATCCTTGATTTTTCGTGGAGGAAGGATGTCCCAATCTGAATACATGCTTCCAAAATCTCTTTCTCGATTGTCAACAAGGATACTATAAGAGGCATCAGGCCTTAGAATAAATGTATAGAAATGAGTCAATTTGTCTGTTTCACACTGAAGATCTTTCTTAATAGGGTAGTTCTGCCCCTGGTATGATACTATGACATGGAGCTTTTTAGTCTGTGAGCCACATATATCTGGTCCAAACATGAAACTGCATAAAAGGGTATCAGCTGAGTTCGCACTACATATAAAGCAGTATAGTGAGGAGTAAGAGATTAGCAAGAACATCAATAAAGGGAAGCAAAATTTAGGTTGGTGTTCAAACATTAAATAACTTGAGTTCCACTTCTCCAGGTAAGTTTGCAATGTATACATCTTTAAATGTACAAAAAGTAGCCAACTATAGCTATACGGCCAATTCTACAGGCATGAGATTAATATGTCTTTCTTACTAGTTAGACATCTTCTCTTGTATCCCAGTTTGTCTTTGATGCTATTGGGCCCTTTCAACCTTATGGGGAAAAATTACATGGGGAATGGAGCAGATGGGCCCGTTAAGGATCAAACAGACAAAAGGGGAAATGTAACTAACTCCGGCTTTTAGAGGAGAGAGAAGTGAACTGTAGGGGTATATCTGGGTAGTCACCTAGTTGGCCCCATGAGGCAGGTGGAAACAATACATATTGTACGTGTGGACATTACCTTGATGAACAATTACAATACTGGAATATACACTGGTGGACATTACTTTTATAAGCATTGAAAAGGAAAAAAAAATGTCGTAGGTTACCATAACTGTTTACATCATGAGCCTGTCTACGAGCCATATTAAATAAATAAATAAAGGAGAGGAGGAGGGGGAAGAGGAAAATGAAGAAGAAACAGGATGTGCATAAAGTTCAATCAATGTGGTTGTCAACAACGATGAAATATTGAGCTAACTTAAGCATATCCTTCAAATTGGATCTTATTAAAGATTATATATAGATTGAAGAATTTCAAGTGTAAACTAAAATCCAATGAAATTTTCACCAAAAAAAAAAAATCCAATGAAAAGAGTGACATAAGAAAATGGCAGACCTATAAGGAGTATCACCACCAAATTTCTTCTGATTGACATAGCCAGAAAGAAGTTTCAAGTAACCACCACCACATTCAATGTCCTGCTCAAATTTAATTGAATACTGGACCACTAGAGTTCTGTTCTTATTGCTGAACTCTGGAATCTTTGCGGATATTGCAAAATGCTTGGCGTCACTAAATGTCTGGATACCTGCAAGCGTTTTAGGATAAATAAGACCAACCATAAATAACACTCAGGGGAACGCCGATGTACAAGATTACACGTACAAAGAACCTAAGAACGCAGTTCTTTTTCCTTGTTCCTCTTTCAGTGTACCAAAATGTCCTGAATTTGAAACTTCAATGCTAATCGTATTAATCTAGATAATTTTATGCATTCGAGTAAGAATTTTATAGATGACAATGAACGGATACCTTTATCATCGGGATCTCCTGACCACTTTCCTGCCGTATGCTTGAAAGTACCTGCCTTTCCTTCGCTCCTTTTCCAGTCGGATAAAACCCAATGGCTCTTCCAACCATCTGTTTTTTTTTTTAAAGAGAGTTCAAAAAACCAGTTAAAAAAAATCCTATGTTGAATCGAGAAAACCAACTGAAGCAAGCAAATATGATAGATAGACGTAGAGAGAGAGTGAGAGACCATTGATATTTGCTACAAACTGAAGCCAGGGAGTAGGGAATTTAGTTTATCTATTGATATTTTGTTGTCGAACACGAAAACAGGTAAAATAGCGTCTTGTTGACTGAGAACAGAATGAAAAATGATAGGCACACACTCGAGCACAAGTGAACAGGAACAGGGACAGAAATAATTGAAGATCTTCTACCTACGGCTGCTTAAGTCAGACTCACTGAAACATCAGATTCGGGATTCTAAATTGGCATGGATCATTTAGAGAGATAAACTATGGCTGCAATAAAAAATCTTACTTTCCCACGAGTAAACTAGACGACCAAGTAACAGCCAAAGAAGACTAAAATATTTGGACAGCAAAATAACGTCGCACGGAAACTCAGATGTGAATTGATCTATTAAGCAGATGGTTTTTATCTTCTGTGCAAAAAGAGCTAGGAAGAAGTCAGTCAAATGGAGTTAGGAAGATCACCTTGGAATCTCTCCTCAAAAAGAATGTCCGAGAAGGCAAATTCAAAGAGGAAAGAAGAGTGCACAGCTAGGAGCAAAAGGAGGGGAAGCTTAGGCTTAAGATCAGACATCTCATTATTTCCTTCTTCAATCTTCAGGCAGCACTGGCAGAAGACAGCAGCCGTAAAAGTTGCTTTAAATAAAGCGTTTCATGTGAGAAAGAGAACTTTATTTATTCAACTTATAGTACTTTCTAGAACATCATATACTTTTGAAGTGTTGGGGCAGTGCACTCATGAGTCATGACCTCATCGCCGAGGGCGACCACAGCCTCCCTCTTTTTCTCTATTTATTGAAAGTCTGGAAGACTGGAATGCGTTTGGTAGCATGTCGCCCTGAACGGGTATATATATTAATGGAAAAATTACTGTCAGTTTTGACAAAAGACAATTAATTTTAAAAAAATTCTTAAAAATCTCGAAATGATTCTGAAATCTCCAGAGATATGTGTGTAATTAATTATAATTATGAAATTACTTATTTACTCCATTGATTTTATTGCAGCAATTTATTTACAACCTTAACAGTGGCTGTTGACAATCCGAGAAGAAGTGGTTGATAACATTGACAGTGCTTCTGACAAATCACTCTGTGGGATACCAGGGGCATTGCCAAGGTTGTTAATCAACTCTCCTCGAGTTGTCAACAGTCACTATTGAGGTTGTAAATGAATTACATCGGGTTCAAATTAATGGGGGTAAAGAGGTAATTTTATAATTACAATTAATTACACACAGATCCTTAGGGACTTAAGAATCATTTCGGGATTTTCAGGGACTTTTTTTGAAATTAATTGTCTTCTATAAGACTTGAGTATAATTTTTCCTATATTTATCTATCATCTTCTCCCTAGAAAATGTGCACACTCCAGACGGATCCAAATTCATGGATCCGACGGAGTATATATTAATAGATTACGGGTAATATATGACTTATGATCACTTAATTTTTAGTCAAATCTCAATGATAGCGCGGAGACTGGAGAGTCGTTTTTCACTTGCTTTTTACGGTCAAGGGTCAACCAAGCATAATGAAGATTTGGGTGTCCAAAGTCAACATCTTCGATTCCGTTAAAAAGAAAGAGGAAAAAAATTTAAGGAAAAAGAAAAGAAAAGGCCAAATCTTCCTTAATGCATTCTACTATTTTAGATTGTATGAAAAGAAAATTAATATTTTAGTGATTTAACTTTCAACTCACTTACAATACAGTTTTTTAAGTATAAATTGGTGGGACTCAATTCTTCTATTTTTAATTTAGTTAAAACTCAGTTCTTATTTCTTAAAAAAAATCATTATCAACCGAATTTGTAACTTAATCATCCAATGTGTCCCCCAAGTCAAATAGCTTGCAAAGGATAAACATGACCAACACGATAGACGAAGAAGGAAGGACTATAGGCATCATTATATTAATAGATTATGGGTATAAGAACTATTCTCTCCATTTCAAATATTAGGCATTTTTGCCTGAAAACAGTTATGTAGTCGATTTTTTTTTCTTATATATAAATACATAGAGAATGATCAATAGATATTGATCTTTTAACTTTTTTTAAATAAGAAGTCTTGAATTTGAATCTCTTGAAAGATGCTTTTCAGAGAGATACACTCAGTCATATAAGATACACAGAGAATGGACTGCATCAATAAAAAGGGATAAGTGATTTTAATATACTCTTAAGGACGAGTTAGGAAAAAAGAAACTAATTACCCTTAAAAATCCATATAATGCCTTGCTCATGAAGTAAAGGTAATATAGTGCACCGACACCATATAATCTCTCACAATCGGGCAATGCTTTTCTTTTTACGATGTTATTTTTAAATAATCAACGGTGACTCAATTGTTAGTGTAGGTTAGAACATCTTTTTTGACCCAGCTAAATAATCAACGTTGACTCAGTCGAGGCCACGTTATTTTTAGTTGTAAAGGAATAAAAAGGAAACTAATACTACCTCCGGTCCTAATTATAAGACCCAGTTGACTTATTTGAGGGGATTAAGGAAGTAAGTTAAGTTAGTTATTTGTAATAAATAAATGTTGTCATTCCTAAAATATCCGTGCTAATTAAGTGTATTGGTTAGAATTATCATTATTAGAAGGACTATCTTGGAAAAAAATGCATAAATATGAGAGAAAAAAGGATTGGGGTCTTATAATTAGGACCAAACAAAAAGTCAAACGGGGTCTTATATTAAGGACCGGAGGTAGTATTCCACTAATGTTAAAAGATTATACGTATTATATTGTTGCACAACTTTTATAATGGTGCCTATAACTCCTGCTGCAGGTGCAGCTTTCCAACTGCCACGATGTCGTCATAAACACCATTGGAAAGTATCCACATTGCCTAACGGACAAACAAGACCACCGTACGTTATTATAATTGAAACGGATTTACAACATCATTGAAATGGGTGAAGAAAGAAGCCGCTATTAATTTCGCACAACTTCGGGAGGTTCTGGTAACTGATTAGTAAAAGCATAGAAGAAGAATAATAGCATATACGAACATATGCATATGCTAAACTCACGTTCAAATGTTCGTCAGATTAGTACCAACCACAGAAAGCACAATTTGTCATTTCAGTTGGGACTCGGAACAGATGATATGGCAAAATATAATCCCATCACAAGCACAATTAGACAAGGGCCATTGTTCTACAAAGCTATCGAGATACAGCAAGCAGAGCTAGTGCATCCAGCCCTTTGAGTGACCATCTTGCATGTAAGGCTCTAGAAATCCAATGAACTGAAAGATATATTAAGAAAAATGTTAGTTGCAAATTTATTTTAAATATGCAAGCCCTATTTGCAAGATGAAAATAGAAAACTCAAAACCCAAAACTCTTTATGTTGAGCCTGATTCACTGCCATTACATAATAAATGCATCAAAGGAATTCCTACATGTACATCTCATGCTTCAATTTTGTTGCACTTGCCTAGTCATCCGGCAAAAAGAATATGAGAATTAAACAGCATAATATTTGAGCCTCTAGAAAAAGATGGGAAAGACCAAAATTTAAAGCTGTCTACACACCTTCCTTCCATCCTCCGTCCAGCGGGCACCATATCCATTGGCAACCCTTATCTCAAATATGAACCCATGTGGCGCGACAAAGTGCACATTCAACCAAGAACAATGTTCTATCAAGCGGTTGATAACATCCAATGCCAGCCTATTTTTATTAAAATCTGGAAAGAAAAGTAATTTTACAACTGGTAAAAACACTGTAACTGAGTTACTCAAGGCATAACAATATAAACCATGCTTTTCAGGAAACACGTCTTGCTACTCAGCGAACACGCATATGCAAATCTCTCTGGTAAAGAAAAATCACATTAAACATTCTCTATGTGAAACAGAATTTTCAAGCACAGATAAAGACCGAGGACATATTGAAGCACTTTTCTTTCAAACGGATCCTTACCGTTTCCATCTAAAGAACCCCAAAAATTATTGCTACTCCTATAGGTATGCTTTGCCAATGCACGAGCTCCATGAGTCAAGGCGCAACTCTTAAACTTAACAAGTCAAGCCGGAGAAAAGTAAAATTTATATTCAAGGAACACAATATTATAAGTGAAAGTACTCTGCAGCAAACACAACAACAAAACATGCTATAAGCAATTAAATTTTCTAAGAATAAAAGATTTTCTTAAACAGTGAATAATAAAGGCGATGTGAAAATATATTTTTTTCAGAAGGTACCATGAAAGCCATCTCAGTGATCTTTCGTGAGGTCTGACCACTTCATGATAGTAAAATCAGTGAAGAATCTAACAAAATCTTTAATACGTTCATATGGAGTGAATAGTATTAGCTCCAGAGATTCTTTATGAACTGCAAACGCGTGAGAGATAAGAATGCAAAAAAGCACTTTCTTACATTGGACTTGTATGGCATATTAAATGATGCTAATAGAGCGGATCTTGGAGGTGGAAGAGCAATAGAAGTTGTCCCTGGTATATGCATCAGACCAAGAAGGTCTCGAATTCCCTCATAGCTTAATCCCTGCATAAAGCAAGACTGCACAATGTCAGTGTCGTCAATTTTTAGATGAAGACATTCAAGCAGCAGGAGCACATGATGCGAAAGGGTGGGGGGAAAAAACTACATAGGTTATGAGGCATAAGTTAATAATGATTTTTCTAATAAATTATTCACAACTACACAAAACAAGTGGCAGCCAAGAAAAGAGCTGAAAACTTGCATAGCACCACAAAGATAAAAGGAGGGAAATCTACAAAAGCAACAGAGCTCAAATGTCAATAACAGGAGTTCAAAACATAGCAAAACAAAAATGAGTTTGTACTTATATCTGAGCAATAAGATGGGAGCAACATTTTAATGTTTTGAAAACAATGTCCAGCAAAATCAATAAGCCAACAGATAAGAATCAGCATTTTCAACAAATTGAAACCCACAGAAATTATGCTCGCCAGATAAATGTATGGTTGAACGGCCATTTTGGAAACAGTGATTGCAAGAGCACCATTTCCCTGCTCCTTTACTTCATTGTCCAATCTCTGGTAGATTTTTACACCTGTAATGCTGTGGGAATGTTATGCTGGAGGAATCAGTATTTTTATTAAAAAAAAAAATCATAACTGAATTTAGTTTGTATTACAGCTGCGAAAGACCTATTCAAGGTCACATTAAGGTAAACAGAATAACTATTTCCCAGTTCCCAGTCCAGCACAAGCGCTCTAGATTATCATGGATCCAAATTTAGTGAACTAGAACAGACATGAAGAGCTTTCATAAAACTAACAAACACATACATCTTAAATAAAAATCCAAAAGCCATCTATCATGTTCAGTAAAAAATAGTTATGTCAATTCTTCCCCTGTAAGTAAAACAGCAACCTCTTAAGCTCACAAGAGTTCACAAGAGGTCGAGTTAAAATGTAGGGCAGATTATTGCACAATAAAAACTGCAAGGAGTGCTCTGGTTAATGATGCGAAAAAAAATATCCTTGTCTATTGATATCATAATGCCATTATTTACAAAAGAAGTGCATTTGACGTATTCATTGTCGGTCCAAAACCAATTACAGCAGAAAAAGGACCCTTTTCCACATTTTTAACTCCTGGGAGAACTTTTCCAAGCCTCTCTGTCTCCAACATTCCAGAGGATACAGGATGCCACTGGACTCCCTAAATATTAGTGAAGTTTAGAGATCAGAGCAAAGCAGTTACAGACAGAAAAACCATACGGCATTGGGAATGAGACTAACTGCCAACTGAACTTCAAAGACCACACACTTATTTATGAGAACCAGATTTCCTCATTCAATCCTGGAAAAAAAAGAAGCAGAGGTGGGGGAGAGGAAAAATCAGAAAGGAAATAACGAATAAGAAAAGTAAAATGGTAAAAACAGACAGAACTACGGTATTTCAATGCCCAAAGACTAAGAAGACAAAATTTAATTAATGCTTTATAGAAGCAGCGTCTGTCTATGCCATGTTTTGATCAAGCTTTGGTATGAAGAAATCAGATTATTGCTTACACGAAAAAAGGCAACGAGGCATCTAGTTTCTGACATAAAAAATGTTCCCCCTGATAAGCCAGCTATTTGTTCGGTTGGTTCTGTTGTTGGCCTCCTATTAATTACTAAGTTCATATATCTTTTACATCGAGAGGTTAAATACAGTTCAAAGTGTTCCCACTACAAGCAGAATATTGCATCTGGAGTCATCACTAAACTTCAAATCCATGGGAAGCGCAAAGGTTTTGTTCATCTGCCCTTTATATGAAAACGAAAAAAGTTATTGATGATGAAAAGGGGGGGGGAACAGATCTAAGCGTAAAATTAATTTCTTAAAACCTGCTATATTTATCACTAGCGCACTTTGCTTCAATTGTTTCTAGGCCATCTGCAAACAGAGAAGATAAATGACTTTAGTAGAATTGAATTCTTGTGAGTAAATATTATGGATGATACTTGTGTGGATTCAGAGGAGGAGACAGGAGGCCAACTTGATGATAGCATAGACGATGTCTGATGGATTTTTAAAAAAATATCTTTCCGTGTTCAGGTTGGTAGATAAGAGTCCATGCACAAACAGAATGTCACAATGAATGATAGATAGTTTTCTTGCACAGTAACAGGTGAGTACAAAATGGAGAAGAATAACATTTTCTTCCATTGAGATCTATCATACCGACTCATGAATATACCTTTCAACTCCGGAAAAAAAGGCTCCTCAATATGTAGCTCAAAGGCAAACCTCTTCAAAATCTGTCAAAATATAACTTTCTGTACTATAATTTACCTTAATTAATAATAAACTAATTCAACCAAGCAACGAACAGTTGAGAATGTACATTCAATATTTCAGATCCCCTCTCAACGATCAATTTCTGCCACTCGTTTCGTTTCTGCTGGATGGAACTACAATCATGGATCATGGTTAAATGATTGCATGTCCTGCAGAACGCTCCAGAACTCATACACTTTAACAGAGCTGATGCTAGACGCTTGTATAAGGGATACGATGAACTCCTTCTAACGAATCTGTAAAGTAGAAACGCGTCGGGTCTAAATCAACGCAAAAGAGGAAAAAATGGTCAAATTAATTTATCTCCAAAACCAGCAGCCTATTCCACATTTACTGATATGCATAAAATTTAAAATTTCTCCAAGTTTTTTTAACTGAAACCAACTCCAACCGCGAAAGCACGAACGAAGGATTTATCGTTAATAGGTAAAGTAAAGATTTTCCCGCAACATCTGGACAATGTAATGATACATTGGCACATTAGCAGAGCTGGTGCAAGTATGGAGGATGCGAATAAATTGAGTTGGCTGAAAAGGCAGGACAAATAAATCACCGGGAATTAGCATCCCTTGTAGCTTCTTAGCTTATTAGCTAATTAGCTTGTTTAACGATACTCAAACACAATGACCACAGGAAATCATGGAAATTAGCGTCCCTCGTAACTTTGATTCATTATGCCAGTCCTTTTTCCCCGTACACAATACACAATGAAATGAAATAGGAAGAAATTCACAGCGGGAAAAAAAAATTACCAACATCATCTGAGTAAGGATCAGTTGGGTCAGCTTTGAGAAGGGTTGAGCAGAATGTCTCGGAGAGGTTCAGAAGTTGCAAGCTAAAGGTATTGTTTAGGCGAGCGTGAAGAGTAAACTTCAGAAGCTCCTCAAAACGATGTCTCAGTTCCAACGAAAAACCATTTTCAGCTCTCTGTCGGTTTTGCATTGCGGCAGCATCGGAGTCCATGGGCAGGGCAAGTAAAAACGCTAGTTTGCAATAACTTATAAATAATTTTTTATTCATAATTTACAGAATGTAAAATAAGTATGTTTAAACGTTCTTACAAACAGACCCAATATATTGCCAATCCCCACGGAGACACGCACCGACGGATGCAAGGAAGGAAGGAAGAACGACGCCATTACGGAAGTAATACTCTATTCGGAGTTCGTATTAAAGATAACCACTAATTTACTCGTATCAGAAAAGGGAGTTAAGTCAGCTATCTTTAAATAAATGTATCTCTAAAATATCATTATTAAAATCCCTCTCTCCATTAATAAAGATATCTTAAGAAAAAATTTTAACATCATGATTGATAAGATATTTAATTGTAAAACTTAGATAGCTTAATTATAAGCTGGTCGAAATGTAAAGGAGCCCAATTATAGAAATTGAAAGATTTAGTTATGAAAATTAAAATAAAAAAAAACTTGTTGTATATCAATCATAGATTGTGAAAAAATTTTATATTTAAAAAACGGATGATGAAAGTTTTGATTTTTTAGTCTGTCTTAATTATCGATTTGATTCATGAAGCTTAATCTTTATTAACATGAAGTTTAATCTTGAGGGACTTAATTGAACGATGGAATAAAAAATATTTTGCCCCCTTTTTTTTCGCATCCACTTTTTTGGGCCAACACATCCATTTATTATTGTTAAACCTTAATCCTTTTAACTAATCTCATAGATTAATAGTTTCTAAATGTCATCAATTTGCTGCAGTAATCCCTCTATATCACTTTTTCCTAAGAAAAAGTGAATAAATACATTTTCATGTGCTTAGAAATGTCGTAAAAACTTGTCAATCCTCGAAGAAGCCAGGTTACTTGTTAGTTTTTAGGAAATAAGTATGCAGAATATGAATATGTGCTTAGAAGTATGTACCTCCTCTAAAATTTTAAGGGCTTACACAATTTTCGAAATTTTAGATACATGCATGTTCTTACGGTTACGATTAATTCAAATTTTAATAATATTGCATAGAAAATAATAATTAAATCGGATTAAAATGTAATTGTATCCAAAAATGCTTAGTCAGACATAATTAAGTCTTTGATTACGTAATGTTCTTCTTAAATTAAATTACGCATGATTTTGGGTGCGTTGAATGTGCATGTGACATCAATTGTGATTTTCATGGCTTTTTAGTATGGATAATGTCCTGATGAATAAGTACTGCTGGTGTGCGTGAGGGAAGTAGAGAGGGAGGAAGCCGTACGCTAAATACATGATGGAGCAATAAATCTCGGCGTTAAGAACAAAATAAAATCAAGCTCCTCACAGAAATTTTCTTTTTTTAAGAAAAAAATCATGACGAAGCATGCACAGTTGGTCGACCATAGCCGTTATGAAACTGACAATGAATTCTCCACTTAGTGCAAATATGACATTTACAGGGAAGATTACTCGGCTGCACTCGGCATAATACAAGGTTGATTAGACTGACAAACACAAGATAACTGACTACCATTTCTCACATGCTAACAGAATCAACTGAGAACATCAGTGAAACTCAGTGCTGTAAATAAATCGCATTTCCTAAATTCAACCGACGATTGCCACGAAGAATACTCCCTACTGGTACAATAAAGACGGAGCCCACTAAGAGAACCAAAAACAGGAAAACCAATTAAAAAAAATTAATAATAATGAAGGCTAATTCAACCTGATGATTCTCCACACTTATTTCATTGTTTCTTCTTCCTGTTTTTCTTTGTTTCTTTCTTCTTCTTCTTCTAAAAGTCGGGTCATCTAGATTAGCACTTCGTTCCTCACACAAGTGTGGGAATATTATTGGAGTGCCCCCGGGAGGCAGACTGTGGAAAGACAAGCCCGAACGGAGATGAACGAACATTGAGCATCATCACGATTGCGTAGGGAGGTTTGTTCTTGGAAGAATAGAGTTGGCCAAATCTTCATTCACCTTTATTGGTAGAGGTGGCATTTGCTTCATCACCTCTGGCAAGTCATTCAAACTGCCACGAAAAAAAGAAGGAAAAAAAAAGAAAAAAAAGGGGGAGGTGGGGAGTGCTTTTAGTTGGTGAGCAACGTGAGAAAAAGCAAAGTAGCATATAAATAAACTCTGTTTCCTATTAATGAAGAACTTGCCGACGTTCAGATACCACAATGTAAAACAGTAACGGATGAAACAATCTTAATATAATTTCAAATACATGAAGGGAGTAGTTATGGGAATATGCAAGAGAAACAGTAAAAATAACTCACTCGTTCATAATTTTAAGAATGTTATCTCTTGTTTGGCAGAATAGATTAATGTTCTCCTGTATCTGAAAACAAAATGGAGAGAACAGGGGAAAAATTATATCAGCTTTGGAAATGATAATAATAAGACTAGAAAACAGAAGTCAGACATCGAATTTTCAATATAACAGCCACAAGAGACACGATGAAACATCCTAGTCCGCCAGTATACCGTTTGCGGTAGGCATACCCTTGTCAGGTCCATATCAAAGTGGTTTTGAAATGATTATAGTTTTTTAGCCACGGCTTTTGGTATGAAAACGCACTGATATTGTTTCTAAAATTATATCAAAATAAGTACTTTCACGGAATATACCTCGCCATAGCCATATCTTTTTCCCCCCAAAATTTACCCAATATCCAGTTCTTTCAATACCATATGCATACCTCTTTCGGTAATAGATAAGGTCTTTACAGCAGTTTCACAACCTCATAAAAATACAATGATGCCGCTGTTGACTAAAATTCCATTCCACATGAGACCCGAAAGCACCAAGGGGAAATAGTCAAGTGATTTCACAAAAATGAAAGTGGAGGAAAAATAGGATTGGGACACTTATAGTAGTCATCTGTCTCATGCCCAGATCCGTACAATTGATACAAACAGAATTTTACTTTGCACAAAAAGCAGAAACAGAGAAGGTCAAAAAAAGGGCATCAGCTTACCTGGAAAGCAGCTAGATTTGCAGATATTTGATTCAATGCCTGCGCATTTTGCTCCAATAGCTCACCAGTGGGGCCTCCAATAGCTACAAGAAGCCCAAAGAAATTTTCAGACATAAAATAAGTCAACTGAACATAAAGAAATGCAACCATGAGATCCTTGAAAGGTAAATGAAACGCCTACAATAGAAAAAGCCTCTACTCTCATGTTTGAAAAACCTCAAACATTCAAGGCCAATGAAATTCAGAAGGCATGGTGTCCGACCTTTGTAGGAAATGCCATCATCATTGTCCACCATAATCACTGGCGGAGCATATGGGGAAACATTAGACCGGGTGGCAAAGTGAGATGACTTCGTTGATGGATCAGAAACCCTTTCCTAGAAACAAAAATAGGGACCTCCTTAACATCAGAAATTCCACCAAACATGAAAATACGTATAAATATTTAACTTAAGAGGTTTCAGCATGGCACGAATGCACTTTTTACTATTTGCTTCCATTCTTCTTTGTCAATTTTATTTCCAGATATTTCTTGGAAGCCCAAGATGCTGAAATTTTTGAACATTTAACAAGTCAAAAAAACTTACAAATAGTCAAATACCATGCTTGGCCTATTCCAAAAGAAAAATAGTGAATGTAACCATCATGATGCAGATTCTCCGAGAAATAAATGGAATGCTAAAAGGAAACACAGTAAGTAAAACGCCAAAACAATAACAACAACAACAACGTCTTGTCCCGCTAGGTGGGTCAGCTACATGGATCGTACGACGAAGTAAAACGCCAAAACCTGAAGCCTAAATGAAAGCAGGGCAACTTTTTATTCAAAACATTTAGATGACCAGTAATATAGTAGAAACCAACTAATTCCAGACTATGAAATATTGTTGGAAAGTACAGAGTTAGAAATACAGGGATTAATTAGCATTGGAAGCTCAGTAAACATTCAGCTTCAACACGAAGCTGATAAATTTCTGGGGATGTTTTGTGAGATCATGCAATAAATATTGGTCAAAGTTATTAAATAATTGTAATGAAATGGCAGCAAAGTCCATCTTCTTGCCTTTCAGTTTTATGTGAATTTTTAGCATTTTGGCACAAATAAGCTTTTAGATAACTTCATAGCACATACAAATGCCAAAGCCTGAAGAATAGTGTGACCAGATGTTAAGCACCAATACTCCAAAAAATGGAGCTGTATCACATCTTACACTTATGTTGGATGCAATACTTTAAACGTGAAAGAAAGGAAAGACCATTTTGGAGGTACCTATAATGTCTCTCAATTTTTAATTTGGTACCTATGCAGTTTTCTCTCCTTAATTAAATCTTTAATTTTGCTCTATTAACATCATTAACCCTTGTATAAAGACTAATAATACTAATAGAGCAAAGTTACAAGAGTTAATATTGCTTAAAAGGTAAAATTAAATGATTCAATTAAGAGGCAAAAACAAATAGATACTAAATTAAAAATTGAGAGAAAGTATAGGTACCTCCATTATGGTTTTCCCGTGAAACAAAATCAACAAGGCTAAGATGTTAGGATCATATGTGATCCATTTCATGTTTGTCGGGTCATCTAGGAAGGAGGAACAAAGCTGAGCAATGTATTAAAGAACTAGAAAAAACCTAAGAAGCGGTAGAAGAATTGCACATAAAGCCTATGCTTCCAGGTCAGAAGGCTGCAGCTTAATGGAGGTTCTGGAGAAAAATTGGAAGCCCAGGCTTTGTAAAGCAAACCAAGGCATGCAGAAATCAAATACAAGAACCCGAGAAAATAAAGCCATGGCTTGTGAAATTGCATGACACAGCATGCCATCATCAGAAATCCTCAAAACTTGGTCTTTTTGCTCAAAGCTGCAGCACTCCAGTCACAAAGTTGAGGAGTCTTCTATAAATAGCAGAAGAAGCTAAAGGATGCAGACTGGAAGAGAAAGAGCACCAATCTAGGTATCAGAGAACTGGAGAGAGTGTTGGAGGCTCGAAATTGAAGGTCGCACACATCATACGGTGTTTTCTTTATTCCCTTCACTCCTGTGTATTTGGATGGTTACGAGCTGTATTTTTTTCATTTTTGTATTTTTTCTATCCATATGCGGCTGGTTTTCATAATTCTAAAATTATTTTGAACCTACTTATGGATTCTTAGCTACAATTGCTTCTCCTTGTCTGCCATTTGATATATGTGTCCTCTAGTTTTGCCAACTGTTGATTGGTGGTTTGGATGTTCCAGTCGTATCTAGAGAAAGGAATTCTATAATAGGTCTAGCAACTAACAGTGGAAGATTGCAAGTGTTAAAAATAGTTTGTTAATTCGAATACAAGCGTGCTGATTAACTTCACATAGACAAATAGATTTTTCCACATTAAACAATAGGATTAATCACCTAGAAGATTGAGGGTAATCTAATGAAACACCTAATGCAGTGAGTGACTAAAGGGGAAAAAAACATCTTACTTTAAAATCAAATCCTGATTATCACATGCTGCATTAAATGCACGGAAAAGAGAATATTGAACAATTGCAAAGAAATAAGTAGGGTATAAATAGTTTTAGGTCCTCATATTGTTGCAGAACCCACCTTCACTTTCCCATTTGCACTCCCTGATTCCATTCATCTTTGAAAATTCGGTCTATACTTGTTTGGTTTAAATTCTAGCATGTTTTTGAGTTTATTAAACCAGTTCAAACGAATTTCTCAAGGGATGATATCCCTTCTTTGTATTATATTACTTGTGTAATGACACTTACCATATGCACACTTCTAAAGTGTAAGGTCTGATATTTTGACAGTCAAGAATCAGACATTGGAGCATTGAGCAATGTAGATAATCAATAAGTGGAGGATATTCAAGACAAAACTCCATAATTTCTCTCGAATATTATGTGATTTCACATGTGTGCCAAATCAACATGGCAAAACAAGCAAGTGAGCACGAAAGATGGAACAAAGAGATTATTCAACACATAACAAGTTCTACAAACCACCAATGTTCTTGGAAGAATTAAGGAGTACATATAAACAAACACTCACAAGATTAAAAGAAGGGGGGAACCCAAATTTGTTACATTAATGATCATAATATCCAATAAATTAAAGTAGTACCTTTTTATCTTTACTTTTCCTTGTCAAATCATCCTTCCTTCTCTTGCTATTTTCTTTTTTCTGCCAAAAGTAGAAGACCAAAATTGTCATATAAAAGTAATTACATATTTAAAAGGAATCTCCTAATTGCATTAAGAAATTGATAGCACATGGTCAGATGTTTATGCCAGTTGCATCGTAAGAGTGTCTCCACCAGGTTTAAATGAGTTATTGACAACTTCGGTTGGTGGCTAATAAATAGGAGATGCATAGGTAAACTTACAGATGTCAAAACAGTTCCACAACGTGATGAGCTTCATATTAATTTCTGTACTTAGATATTAATACTAAAGAAAGTTTATGAACCAATGATAACATAATGTTTTTTCTTAATCATACAAAATCAGGGTAAGCAAAAGAAATAGACACATCTAACACCAATCTAATGGAGAAGCAAATGATCAGTCATCCACAGGCAGGCAAGATAATCAACCTGAAACTTAAAAGACAACACTCAAACCAGTTTTACGTAATGAGCTTAACATTAGTTACAAGAATTTGAAACTGAGACCCTTGTGACCCAACGCAACATTATCTTTTTCTTTAGTACTCGAAAGGGGGTCGAAAAAGAGATCAAAGTGTTTAGCACCACTAAAATGGAGGGACCAATCCCCAGTCGTTCATTATTCTTCAAGGCAGGCTAGAAGATCAGCATTAATTTTAAGTAAAAGAACATTCACAATTACATAAAGCTCAACAAATATCCCACCAGACAAGGTAAAAGAAGAGGTGAAAATAAAGCAACTAAATGGAGGGTAGAGCCATAGCACTACCAGATCAAAAAACTTTACAGAATTCATTAACAAGAGTCGGGATACTCTGAAATTCTTTACTCATAAATTTCCTGTAGAATTTAAAAAATGAGAGAAAAGAGAAAATAGGGGGGCAAATAAGAAGTGGTTTCATATACAGTTATACTTTTTTGTGTCACTTTTTCTCTGAACTCTACGACTGCAAAAACCATTAGAGGATTATTACCCCATAAAACATAACACTGCCATTAAACCTTTGCACATAGTCAATTGAGCTTAGCTCAGGCATGAATGGGAGTTGGTGCTGGGCCTAAAAAGATTTATTAGAAAGAGAAAAAGCCATAGCTTTTTGAAGATAAGATATCCTCAAACCCCACAACATAACATCTTAAAGCATACAACAACAACGAGCCTAAAATTTTCATCTACAAAAAGATTGTCACAAATCAGATCCTGCTGCCTAGTGCATGGAAATCCCTCATACAAATGTTTAAAGAAAAAGGTCCTCATGAACTCAAAGTAATCATAGATTTTTAAGGCATTTACAATAGCAAATGGCCTAAGGAAGCAATAAAAAGTATTGCAGCACTTACATTCATCCATCTAACACGGAGTGCTACGTCCCGCACTGTCTTATTCTGTAGTTGCAGGGCTATCTTTGCATAGCGTATTATGTTAGATTCTGAGGTAAACCTACGATACAAAATTTAGAACTAGCATTTAATAAAAGACTACCTGCAGTACTTAGAAAACACAAATTGGTATTCCAGCAAATGAAACCAAAAGATCACAATTCGACAGCCCAAGTGAGTCTACTGTACACTCCTAGAGATGACATGTAATCAAGCTTGCTTCCTGCTCATTTCAGCTAAGCTTTAAAAATCACCGATGAAAAAAAAGAAATGAATGTCACTGTGACAGGAAGACTAGCATAAAATGAGAACCAAGACACCCTTCACTGATGTAACCAGAATTATAATCCCGATTTTACCTACAATGGGAAATGCATATGACTCATGCAGACTCCTAATTGTTTAAAAACTTGAAATCAGTTTTGAGGTGCCCTAGGTCCATGTATATCTCATGTAAACAGAAGTAACAACTTTTACTGGATGATGTCCCGAAAAAGCAGCAATGAATCAGTTTGAAAGAAAGCCCTGCATACCCGAGTCAATATTGGAATTGTGGATAGTGTTTCTCATATTGAAAGTTTAACTCAAATAGCTTTCCAACAGTTTAATAAATAAAAATCTTCAACGCTACCATGCTTCTTTGAAACCAAAGTAACCCAAGAAGACAAATGTGCAAGGTGAAACAAACCAAAAAGATAACCCCAAAAACAACAGTTCACCAAAGCAATCCTGCGGAAGTTATAGAAACTCAAATTTTATTACAGGGCGAGAGACGGCGGAAAAGCCAAATTTTTACTCACTTTGCAAGCCCCTCTTCAAGTATGGCCTGCTCATCAGGCGTCCAATCCAAGGATATACCCGGGTTGTGTTTCATGGCCAGAGCCGCACCTGAACTCTCCGGAGCCGAACTGCCGTTGTTGGGATTGGCACCACTAACCCCGTTGAACGAAGACGAAACATGGGTCTGCTCCTGATGGTTCCCAGACGGGTTAGCCATCAAAACAAGCGTTCAAGTAAACCCACCGCAATTTCCGATAGAGTTTATATAGGGTGGAGAAATTCACTAAGCCCGGTACCAAAAATTGACAGTTGGTTCCCGCCAATTAACCGTGGCCCGCCGAGAGAGTCTATGAAGAAAGTCAAATATAAAAGGGGGAAAATCAAACAGAGAGAGTGCGCTTGAAAACGATAGACATGGAAGGAGACTGAAGGGAGCTCTAAGAAGAAGGAATGATAAAACAAAGGAGGACAGACTGGGATGTGTACGGAAGTCAGGGAGGGTTTTGACGCTTGGAGTTGAAGGTGCAATGTAATTGCAGAGTTGAAAAGATTGCCTCTTTCTACCTCCAGTCTTTCTTTAGGATTTTTTTGCCCTTTTATATCTTTTCAGCAGCTTGTAAATCTCAGGAGATGCAATTTTTTTGCGGCACCCGGCTCTTCCTCGCGGGGGGGTTCGAAATGCTTGTTTCCAAAGATAATTTGATCCAGCCTAGCCTTTCTTCCTCGTTCAAGATTTGACGGAGTTTTATCTTTTAACGATCATCAATATATTACATCAGTAATCAATAAATTACACCAGTAATATATTTAAAATATATATATTAATAATTAATAATTAATAATAGTCATAATATCAACAAAAAAGGGAGAATTTCGTTATAAGACCATAGTAGGTAGATAATTTCCGAGCAAGTCCAAACAAATCTGAAACCTAGACTGCAGAGTTTAAGGATCAAATTGAAATAAGATTTCATCGTAATATCAACAAAAAAGGGAGAATTTCGTTATAAGACCATAGCGGGTAGATAATTTCCGACCAAACCCAAACAAATCTGAAATCTACACTACAGAGTTTAAGAACCAAATTGAAATAAGATTATTTCATACGATCAACAAAAAAGAGAGAATTTCGTTATAAGATCATAGTAGGTAGATAATTTCCGACCAAGTCCAAACAAAACTGAAATCTACACTAAGATTTCAAGGTGAAATGACGTTATTACCCCTAATGATGGAAGGCATCCAAGAGACGCCATTGTTTGCTGAGACTTCAGCATGAATTCCCACCAGCAGCGTGAGACGCCATCAGAGGCGATTTTTGCGAAGTAGAGGGCGGTGGTTGTTGTTAAAGCAGTGCGAACATGAGTTAGTGTCAAAAACTAACTAAATTTTTTGACAACCGGTTATTTAACTATGACCTGGCCAATCCAAAAACGGTCATGGTTGAGTTAAAAAAGAGAGAGGTCCAATGTCACTTTAGTCACGTAAAACAAGTCAAGAGGCACAGGATAGTTTAATTGGTAGATATTTTCCACTCATGCACGATGCATCGTTTTGTGCATGCGCGTATTGGCCTGCATGCATCTTATAGATTTTGAGGATTCATTATCTTAGTGTATTTCCACATATCAAGTTTTTGCTTTACGATCATATTAGATAATATAAAACTAATCGGCTTGGGCGGATGGCGTTATAGCCAACTCATTGCTTGCCCATCAATTCTCTCACATGGGTTTTGCTTCCAACTCTGGCAGAATATATTCTGGATGGTCAAACCTTAATGCTAAGAGAATAAATAATGTTTGAGAGATGATTCGGACCCTTCATTTGCTCTTCATGTTGTTATTGTTTTTTTCTGGTACATCTTCATGTTAATTATTGGGTACCACTAGTCTAGAAAAGTACGTCAGGGAGTGCTTTTTGACCGCTAGCCTTAAGTGCTAAGCCTGCCATTTAATTTAGCATCAATGCTCCCTCCCCAGTTTCCCAGTTCTTCATATTCATATGATATAAAACCATCTAGACCTACGAATTAGCCTCGGCTTTCTTTCTTTCTTTCTTTTTGAGAAAACGGAGCAAGAAAAAATTGTCAAGACAAAAACTAGAAATACATGATGCTAAGCCTCGGCTTCCTTCCTTTTGCAGCAGGGTTACGAAGGTCTCATAGGCCTAACTAGTTAAATCTCATGTTTACAGGTTTGTTTGGGATAGTATTCAAAAACACTTATAAGCACATTTAATCTAAGCCAAAATAAAACTTTTTCCATACACTTACCTCATATTTCATAAATCATTACGTCAAATACGAGGAACTAATCTGTTTTGTTGCATATTTGTCTCCTTTTTAAGGGGTGTTTGGATAGAAACCAAACCATGGTTTCAGAAGTGCTTTTACGGATTATGAAGTAAATATGTGGAGAAGGTTACCTCGTTTTGCGGAAAAGTGCTTCTGAAACCGCAGTTTTGAGAATGCCAAACACTCCCTTAGTGTGTCCACAAAAAAAAAGGTAGATATGATCTTTTAATTTTTAAGACTAGCTTCTAAAAAGTAAGGAAAGCAAGATTTGCTTGAAAATTAATTATTTGATTATTTTTATTTGTTAATTAAAAAAGGTTCTTTTATTTATATATACAAATATTAGAGTTGAACAACGAGCAGGACGGGCTAACCCGAAGGTTAGCCCATAACCTCACATTTATGAATAAATGGGCATGGGTTAACCCATAACCCATTGACAGCCCATTTAAACCCATATCAAATGGGTTATGAGGCAGTTCGTTTAGGTTGACTGGGTTATGGAGTAACTCATTTAGTTTTTTTTGTTTTGGCAGCTTTTTCAGCATAGTTATCTTATATGCAACCTTGTGAAGCTCTTAATAAATTTTGCATATCAAATGACAAATCAAATATGAAATAACATCATAAAGTGTCTACCATATTCAATCACACAACCTTACATGTAGTCATTTAATGAAGAATAAAAATATTTTTTAAAAAATTAAAACTTAAACTGGCGGGTATGGGCAGCCCAATACCTTGCCCATAGCCCGTCCTGTTTAATGGGTTACCCCGCCCATTTATAGTCTTCTATTTGGACTAATTGGACAAGCTTAAACAGGCAAAAATTTACTGGGCCACAAGCAAGTTAATAGGTAATGGGTTTCTTGCTCACCCCTAACAAATATTATATTTTTATTTAAATATATATTGAAATATTTATATATTTTTATCCATATTCAACTTTAAATATTTAATATTATATAATATTAAACTCACACCCTTTATGGAATTACACATTTAGAAGTACTTTAATTTTAATTGATCTCATCCAATTAAGTTCTAGTTCATGCATTAACTTCTTACTAAAAGTATCCAGACATAAATGGACTTTTGGCAAATGAACTTTCAGCAAACTGAAAATCAAACATATTCTAATTATGTGGATTTAGATGTTCATGACAGGTCAATGTGACGGATACCTTGAGCAGGTTTAGCCATGAAACTTATTCACAAGTAGCAGTGGTAAGATATAGGAGCCAACTTTGTTGCAGTGTTTCTGATCTGTCTCCTGGTCATTGGTTGTGGCTGAAATAATAATTTTCATGCTGAGGCAGAAACTATCTCCCTACGTCTTATATGTGTAGGGACCAAACATGCATGAATTTCCCTACTTTTGTTTTTTGTAGTTTCACTAACTTGTTGTTGCCCCTTTTACAGCTGTGAATTGCCTAATGGCTTGTACATTTTGGGGAAGGCTTATTAACACTTAATCCTTATCATTCTAATCGCTTCTTACTACCACCGCACGCATGTTGTTCCTCACTTAACTTGGTTGCCATTTTTTATTTTTCAAGTTTTCTTGCATCTATCGTATCGTCTGAAAGAAAACCAAAAGTGACATGCATTGCTTTGTTGTAAATGTTTCTGAATGACATTGTTCCACTCCTCTCCTCACAAGACTGCCCTTGCTGGACTAGTTACCATGTTGCATGCATGCCTTAGCATGAAAGCCATTGTCTTGGGAAATTGTCTTGGGAAAGTATCACTATGTTCTATACTTTCTCGTTTTGGTAATGCAAGTTTGTTTTCATATTGAGTCATGTATCCTCTGTTTAGTCATATGTTGAGACTCAGGTTTAAGCTTTTATGTTTGTGGCAACAAGCAATGATGTTACTTGTTTTGGAAAAAAAGATTCACTAGTAGCACTTATTTTTGCGTGGCACAAGATAAAAATCTTGCTCGAGGAAGATATATTTTGACCTCACAGCCCATGAAAAAGTGACGAGTTTCTGTTTTCAAAAACACATGCCTCTTAACAAGGTCAAGGTATTATCATTAACCATGCTAAAACAAAAATTTCAAATAAACCGTTGCAGTGCAAGCATCATTGATAGAGCAGATAGAGAAGATTGGCAAGTTTCGCCAAAATGCCTTTCAGTGTAATTATGAAAATTAAGCTAGGATGAAAAAAATAAAATAATAAAAATCACACATCATTTGTCAAATAAGTTTAAGCATTTTGTTAAATTTAACGATTATACTAATAGGAGGGTATGTGGTTTGAATATTTTGGCCTTGTTGGAATTTGCTCCTAAATGCTATTTCCATTCGAGCTATTTTGCAACAGCATCATCTTTCAGTAGATGCCTCTTGTCTTTTCTGCCACACGCTCACATGGAGACAAGGCATCATCTTTCCTTCCATTGTCATTGGGCAAGGGCAGTCTGGTTAATATGTCCTAGGGGAAAAAATAATTATTTCACATTGCTATAACTTTTAAAGGCCTTCCTTTTGGGGAGTTTGATATATTGCTAAAAGAGGCTCTCACAAGTGGCTGTCTATCTTCATAATGTTTAGAAAAATGTTGCTATTCCTTAAAAATTAGTACATAATAAAATAAGAGAGAATTCTACAAAAAGAATATTAAAATTATTAAATTCTAAATAAAAAATTACAACAAAAATATATTGTTATTTGCTGTCAAAATTAAACCAATTAAAATATTATTACAAATCTGATTTAAAATTTAGTAATTTTAAACTTTTTCTCGTGAGATTATCTACAAATGACCCTTCACTTATAGCCTTCATATCAAGTCTGGAGAGGAAAATCTTTCCTGAATATTTCAAGGACTCCTGAGTACGGATGTTGGCACGCTTGGGGTAGTTCATGATTGTAAAGTGCTCGCCTCCACTCAACTATAATCTCACGGACAACATGAACACACAACGCGCTACTCAAAGTGGTTCGCAAAGTCTATCTACAATTACCTGTCCCTGAACATACCACACGAGACTCATTTTGCCTCAACAGTACATATACTCTTTCTTTAGATTTTTTTTTTTTTACCTGAACTTTCTTTAGATTATTATCAATCAATAGATGGAACTTGGTTTTTGCCATCAAAATCCAAACAATCAAGATGAAACATGTTAAGGAATGTTCGTTAGTCTTCTTTCGTCTTGAGCAATTGGTATTTGCTGCTGCTGCCATGCATATCATATGCTTGTCATCCATACGTATACATGTAAAAACCCGTCCATTTTACCCCTTAAGTGTATGATTTTTTTCCATTTTTCTTATTAATGACACATAATATTCCATTAAAATAGTGACATACAATGTAAATAATTAAAAGGAATATTTTAAGAAACCAACACACATTTTTTTACAAAAAATTAATTTAATTATTTTTTTAATATTTGTAAATTAGTTAATTATCACCTATATTTTAAATTAGACAAATTATGTATGTATGTGTATTCTCTTTTTGAGACATGGTTTCTACTCTATAGCTTGGCTAGTTACCCCCTCAGTTTCTTATACTGCCTCCGGTCTTAATTATAAGAGCTAATTGACTAATTTGAAAAGATTAAGAAAATAAGTTAAGTTAGTTATTTGTAATATATAGATGTTGTCTTTCCTAAAATATCCTTGTTAATCAAGTGTATTAGCTAGAACTACCATTATTAGAATGACTATCTTGGAAAAAAATGCATAAATACGAGAGACAAAGTAGATTGAGTTTTTATAATTAGGATCAAAATAAAAGTCAAATGATGTCTTATATTAAGGATCGGAGGTAGTAATAAACAAATATCATCTCTACCTTCTTCCTATTTATAAAAAAATATTTGCAAAATATTTCAAATTTTTTTAGTTAGTTTCCTATTTTGCCCTATTAAGGGGGTGTTTGGATAAGAACAAAACTATAGTTTCAGAAATACTTTTACGGTATACGAAGTGAATATGTAGAGGAATTTGTCTCGATTTAGAAAAAAGTGTTTCTGAAAAATGATTCTGTGGTTACCCAACACCTCTTAATTACTTATTTTAATACTCAATGTATTTATGATTTCATTTTTTCAAGTATCATCCTCTTTATTTTAATATTTTTTTATTATCTCCCTTGCGTTCTCTTTTCTCTGTAAATAAAAATATTTTTGAGAGAAAAAATTTCTAATTTTTATATATTTATTCTCTTTAACTACTTTTTAATCCAGGTGATTTAGTCAAACACTTTTTATAAAAAGAAGGGGAGAGAGTAGAGTGGGATAATCCTTCAACAACGCCTCAAAATTAAAAGTCAAGGCTGTTCTCAGGGTTGACGAGAGGTTCAACAAAAAGTTCTTGAAAAAATAATGTTGGAGCAAAGAAAACGTAAATGTGAACTCAGTTGCGTGCTCATCTACTTCACACCAACAATAAAAGCAAAGTAAACGCAATTCATTGTTGGCATTTGTAATCTGGTAGAACACATAGCGTTTAAAAATATTTATAGACATGTTTTATTTAAGTTGAAATAAATTTTTTTTTGCATACTTCATATTTTATATATTAGGATTAAAAGGTTAATTATAAACTATTTCATACGAGTCTATACAAAAATTGACTTTGTAATTCTTACAAGTTTAAGCTTAAATGAGCAGATGACCAACAATGTATGCACGCAAAGGCGCCAGTCTTTTTTTTCTTATATGATTTAGAAAAGATTTATTATTTACTAAAATATTACATGTCATCTTGTTTCGTGAATCATTTATGGTCAGATACATGTAATTATTAGAATTGAATTTAGGACCCAAAATTCTAAAGCATTTAATAATAATAATGGTAGTTTTATTTTTTAAAATTACGTAAAGCTTTTAGGGAGAATTAGGGAGAGGGACCTATAATATTTATTGAAAAGGATTTTAAAAATTGTAATTATTTAGAAAGACCAACTACTCAAATATGAGTTTAAAAATATTAACTTGCCCCTAACTAAATCTCTTATATTCTCTCTCACCACATCCTATTATTATTCTATTTTTGAATGAAATAATTGAGAATTCAAACTGATCCAAATTACAAAGTAAGGAAGCAATTCTAATTAGTAAAATTAAATTAATAATCAACACTAATTAACTTATTTGTCCATCATTTTTTAATTAACAAAACTATTTTTTTGGCTTTTTAGAATAATGAGCCTATTAAAGTTATGAGGTTTAATGGTTATTTATTTATTTATTTATTTATTTATTTATTTCATACTATTATTCTATTTCATGCCTTATAACCTTAATTTAGGATTAAATTGAATCTTGTTAAATAATACAATTACAAATTTTAAAAATAATATAATAATAAACAATATATAACTTATTCATAACTTATAAAAGTAAAGAAATATTGTAGCAATTTTTTTCATGAATATTACCACTTCATATATTCACATAATGTGATAAATGTTGCCATGTCATGTATGTTTTTCTTGGACTTTGATATGATTAATCATTAAAATAATGCAAGTTCCTTTTTTTTTTTACGTACGAAATTGAACACTAAGAATTTATTAAGAAAAAAATAGAGGGAAAAAACACAATGAACATTGAACCCAAATAAAAAGATCTTTTATTTAATATTTGATATTTGGTGTTATTAGGTCAAATTTTTATCAATCCTAAATAGAGATAGCTCTTTCAATTTTATTAGTCTATGGCATTTAAATTATTGTAGCCACTTTTATTATGATAGATACCCGTTGACCTAATGACTTCTATATGTTACTTTTATTTGAAATTTGTAATTTTGATAACCAATATGATTCAATTTATTTTTAAGGGTTGGGTTTATAAATTTATAATGTCCTGAAAAAAAATAAGAGTACTTTGGTATAAAAAAAATAAAATAAGAGTATGAAATAAATAAATAAAAATATGGTTGAATGTTATGACTTTGGTAAGTTCCTTATTAAGAAAGCCTAAATAAAGTTTTATTGGTTAAAAATGATGGAAAAATAAATTAAGTAGTGTTGGTCATTAATTTATTTGATTAATTAGAATTGGTTCTGATTTTGTAATTCTAATTAGTTTAATTAATACGGATAAGTCTTTATTATTTTATTTAAAAAAGGATAATTATAGGATGTGGTGAGATAGAACGTGGGGAATTTATTTAGGGGCAAAACTGTATTTTTAAATTTATGTTTTACTATTTGGTCCTTCTAAACAATTATAGTTTTTAAGATCCTTTCCAATAAATATTATCCATATTAGGTCCTTCTCTCTAATTCTCCCAAGTTTTTATCTCTTTGCTATCCGGAAAAAATTAATCTTTAATCTCCGTTTATATGTGGCGGGTGAAGCTGGGCTGATTCGGAGTGGAATCAGGAGTTCGGTATAGCAGGAGATTGGATGGGTTTGTCGGCATCAACGCGAGTGAAGAACAGCCTGTCCCAGTCGCCGGAATTCGAGTCAGCATGCGAGGCGGCCTTCTCATACTGCCTCTCTCAAACGCAGCATGCTTTCCAAGGCGTCTTCCCTTATCAACTCCACGCCGCCTCCGATTACATCCATTCTCTTCTCTCCGACGCCCACCCCCACCGTCTCATCCTCAGGTGGCTTTCCGCTCCACCCGCCCGCTCCCAGGTCGATTCCGCCCTCCGATTCATCACTCCCGACGACCACCACGATGCGCTACTCGGGCCCCTCCAGTTTAAGGCCTGGGCCCTCCACCTCTACACTGACGCCGTCCTGTCTAGTGCTGGCAAAGCCCTTCTATTCCGTGTTCCCATTGGAGTCGCTGGGATAGCTGGCATCGGAGCTCTCACTCGCTCCGGTAATCGATTCGTTGGCACTGCTATCGGGGCCTACTCTCTTGGCGTCGCCTTCTCTATACTTGCTGGTCTGTCCGGATGATAATGTCTTCTCTTTTGCCAACCATAAGATCCGTCATGGAGAGAAATCACTGATATGTCCACATTATCTGGATGCTCGGCCGTTAGCTGTTCAGCCATTCGCCTGCCACAGCTTTGTATCACCTTCTTCTAGCTGTATAGTTGTTTATAATTATAATTGTTGTGTGTTGCCATGGCTTTATGCCAAGCTTATTAGCATACCATAGCTCATCACTTGTGTTTCCTTGAAAGACGAGGAGTTGCTAGAATCTTCCATGAGATGATATAAACCTGTGTGGATTATCTCCTTTGCAGTAGCCACTGTTCCTTCAAATACTCGGCTCCGCCATCTTGTCTTCCATAATAGCCAGCAAATTTGTCCATAAACTTTTTATTCAAGGCCATCAGTTGAATATATCTTTTCCTTGGTTACGTTGTTCATGGGGTTCCATCGAATCTAAACCTGCAGATTACCAGAGAAAAATGCAGAAAGTTTAGAGTTCCATATGTTATTTGTTAGGCCTTTCTTGGCTGAGTGAAGTTAATAATCTCTCGTGGACAACATGCCATAAGAAGAATTCTAACCTTTTTCCAGAAGGGGCCACTTCCGCGACTTTTTCCATATAGGTTCAGCGTTGCAATAGAAAACATCTTCCTCATAAGGCGGCTTAACAACTCATATTCTGTCAATCAACTGACCATTGGGGAGAACATAGTCTCACTGAAACTTGAAACTTGGTTCGCTTCTGTTTGCAAATTCAATCAATGGTTGATTTATAGGTAGCCACAGGTCCCTACCAAATTCTGGTATTGACCACGCTTCATTTTCCTTCCAGTCCCTTCCATAAAGTCATCCCACTCACTCTTGGAATTTCATTTCCCACAAGCGCATACTTCATTTTTAAGCATTTCACTCGAAGGCCTTTCGGTTGTGTAATGGGACCCCAACAGAGTTTCATTATATTAAAAGCAGAAATAGAGGCCCTTGGTGCCTATCAACTCAATACTCAGAATGAAATAAAATTAGAATGTGATTGGAATGAAGAAAAAAATTTAGAAATAATCTTCTTTTTCGTATTTATAGATAAAAACTAATTATGGTGGAACGATGATGATTAAAGCCAACGTCCTGGACTCGACCGTCGTGCATTGAACATGGATTACAGATTTGCAGGGAAGCTTTCTGCTTTTTCCTCAACTCGTTAAACCATAAAGCTTGGTTCAGAAAAAGGGGGGGGGGGTAATCAGTACCTCTCGTATGAGATTTCCCATGGCCTTTTATTTGAGAAAAAGTTTACTTGAAAAATTCTACAAAAAGATAGGCCCCAGTAAAATCTAAAGAAGCAAGCAACACTTCTTGCCTTCCAGCACAAACCCCTACAATGCTTCACCAGTCTTCCACGCAGCTTAAAGAAGCAAGCAACACTTTTGGGTTACTATATTTTATTCCTACAGTTCTGCTCCTGGAAGAGTGTGTTTTATCTTGCAGGAGAGTCGTGCAAGTGGAATAGTCTGTAACGAATGTCATGATTCCAAGTCTCTCCCTCCAACTATTAATTCTTTCTATTCTGCAAGCACTTCTGGAGGACAGTCGTATAGTCCGAAATAATTCATAACCACAGCGTCCAATGACGTGACTCAAACTATTGATTCTTTCTATTCCGCCAGCCAACAGAAGAAACCATCAAATTAACTGCATGCCAAAGCATAGCCTCTCGCACTATTAACGCAATCAAATTTTCAAAACTTTTTGTCCTCTCTAATACGTACAGGGTTTCTTGTTAGAGTTATCACGCCGCAATTGAATTCAAGAATCCTTTCTTTGCTTCGGATGGCTGGCTTGAAGGAGAAGACATACATTTGTTGAAAGTGAAGTGAAAGGGCAAAGAGAAACCAAAAAGGAAGATAATCCTAGTTTAATTAATTGCTTTTGGCCAAGAAAATGTATTTGTTTTCCCCCAAAGATTCCAAGGCGACTCACATTTTAGGCTATTCTGAATGAGAACATAAATTTCTCATGGTACGCAAAAGGACTATTAGCTGCTACCTTGTTCATTGACGAAAGACGTAACAAGGAGAGGGCAGAGATAAAAATCTGAGAATATGCCTCTAACTCTGGATCAGACAACGAGGAAAGGGATTTCGAAACTAACATTGGAAGCTACTAAGAGACCTTGTTTGTGTTCTTCCGTTTTTGCCGTCACGAGTGATTGTCTTCCTCGAAAATGACTGAAAAAACCTGTGGAAATTAAGAATGGAGGGCATAATGCGCATGGTATGCTGAGATGCGGACAGAAAGAGAAGAAAAAAGATATGGCGTGGGTACTGTAAAAGTCAAAAAGGAGGAACAGTGAGGAGTTTTCTCATAACCCTTCCCGCGCGGAAGTTACGGGACCGTTGGTGCTGGTCTATTTTGTGAGCCTGTCAACTAAGTGGACAGCATGTGATTTATTCAAGGGCGGGCCATATTTGACATTTGCCAATGCCATGACAGCCCGATTGATCGTCCATCCAACGGGATGCCGTCTGACGTGGCCCCACCACCTCACACCATCATCGTCAGGCGTCCGTGACGTTAGCTGTTAGCATGATCTTTCTCTTTTTCATTTATTTTACTTTTCTTCTTGTTGGCAATTGCACATCGCAATTCCTTTCATCTTATGGGTTGTCACTACAGAAAAAGTACTCCTCCCTCCCATTTAAAACTGATTTTCCAATTTCCACACACGCTTTCTGCACAAAACAATTGCCCCGGCCGAACTTCAAGTGTCTGACATATTGGCATTATTTGAAGGTGCTCCTTTCTTGTTTCCTCTTCAGTTATTTCAGGTTGGAATTTGGTCTTTCCGGTGTTTGATTAAATTATTTTCTCCCGTTCTGGCTTTCAGTTCCGATCGCGATCTGAGACGCTTCAGTTTGCGAAAGAGTATGGTTTCTGTGCTTTTATTAGGTGGAGAATATCTTTTTCCTGAATATTGGCCCAGTCAAATGCAGTTTCTATCCAAAATATTCTCCGTCAATTTGTTTTCTTCTTGGAATTTATTTACCTGTGACATTGTGGAACTATGTATGCTGTATGCACAGCTCAGCTATGCCTGAATTTAATTGGGTCTTAATCTTACTCATAATTGATTTCTGGAAAGACCACGATGACCAAATCCTGAGGAAGGAATGTAAATTCAACGTTTCATTGCTGGAATGTTAATTTTGAAGTTACTGATTTATTTAACTAAATTCTGTTGAATTTCAGGAGGGTTGGTAGTTTCACGGGAAAATGGGGGTTATGTCCAGGCGGGTTGTGCCCGTCTGTGGTAACCTCTGTTGCATTTGTCCTTCTTTGAGGGCAAGTTCAAGACAGCCAGTGAAGCGTTACAAGAAATTGCTTACTGATATCTTCCCGCGTAATCAGGTGAAATTTTCTGCTCATGATATGTTATTTCACTTTTGGAGGAATAATTTTTATATCATCTGCAGATTGACGATTTAGTCAAAACGATGCTTCTCTACTATCAATGACCAATGATTAACTTTTAGTTGCATTTATTTTACCAACCTGTACACTCATTTTATTTGTTTTCTTGCCATCTCTTTTTAAGTAATGTGGTTTTGAGGTCCAATCCAGGCAAAGGCATGAGGCCTATCCTAGTAACACAAAAAGTTTACTAGAGCTATGCCATTCATGAACCATAAATTATAAGACCTCTCTTAAGTTTTGTGCAATTTTTTTCTTTTCAATTTTTATCCACACATCATATTGGGCTATGTCCAACTCTTTTTTCCCCAAATATTTTTCTACACATTTTAATGGGGTCTAAATGTTAAAGACACAAGTATAACCTTCTAAAAACTTCTAAATTATTATCGATCATGTGTGTTGCACAAGGAACATATCTAGTTTCTTGGATAAGATTACAGAACATAATACTTTGAACGCTTTAGATCCCCTTTTGTATTTTGGCTTTTCCAACGTAACAAAAATCTTATGTGGGTGACTGTTACTGGATATGGCAGGATGCTGGGCCTAATGAGAGGAAAATTGGAAAGCTATGTGAATATGCCTCCAAAAATCCACTGAGAATTCCAAAGGTTGTTTTTTCCCTTTCCCCAAGAAGATGTTCTTAGATCTATTTTTGCTATGTAGTCCTAGCCAACAGTCAGCTCTCTTGATCATTTTGACAATGAGTATACCGCTTAATACCTGAATAAGTGTCCCTTTGTTTTCTACATCGATTAAATCTCTTTGTCATACGTCTTTATTTCTGTTTTGAATTTGTACTTTCTAAATTTTCTTTTCTCTTTCACTTAGTTCTCGTACAGTTGCCTCACATAATTCAAAGATAAATAATGAATGGTGGAGAAAATTTAGACGTTTTTCTATGAATCTTTTAGAGTTAACTAATTTTCTAAACTGGTGAAATATATCTCCTTCATAACTTATTTTAAACAATAATGAGTTGATTATGTGCTGGAGGAGGAAATCCTGTTAGCTTTCATTTAAGATGTTTAGCGTTTTATCCATGCAGATCACTGAAAACCTGGAACAAAGATGTTACAAGGACCTGCGTAATGAAAATTTTGGGTCAGTGAAAGTTGTCTTGTGGATATACAGGAAATTGTTATCGTCATGCAAGGAGCAGATGTAAGTTCGATGCTGGATAATTTAACCGCATAGTCCGTGTGTTGCATTTTCACTTTATCTTATGCAAGTTTACTGGAACAAAGGGGAAGGCTGGTCGTGGAGTTTATCTTTCAACTTCTTAGATTGAATCACCAGAAGAACATTTCATAAAATTGCAGAATGTTTTTGAATTTAGAATTATCTAATTTATGCCTCTTTTCCTTGTACATGCAACATACTGTAGGGACTTCCAGATTTGCATCTCTTACATAATGTTTCTAGTTGGGTCTCCTTTCAAATTCTTGTTTATTTGATCGTATTGATGGATTGCTATTTTTTTTCCTATTATTTTAAATATGTGATGATATTCACATGATGTTTAATCTTGCAGGCCCTTATTTGCTAGTAGTTTTTTAGGGATCATTCGAACACTTTTAGAACAAACTCGAGCTGATGAAATGAGGACTTTAGGTTGCCAAGCACTTGTAGACTTTATAAATTGCCAGGTATTTCATTAGGCCCATCTCACTTAATTTCGAGTCTATAAATAAAGAACTACTGTGGGGTTCATTTTCATGTTGACTAAGAGGCCTAATAACTTGAGACTTGGACAACTCGGAGGGTTGCTGAAGCAGTATGATATATTTATTGGCTGCATTATTTCTTGATTCTTGCCCTCTGTTTTCTGGGGAATACGTGCTATGTTTTCACAATTTTTTTTTTTGACCAAAAATGTTTTCACAATGTTTGGATGTCATAACTTTGTTGATGCTGACATTTTGAGTTAAAAGTAGACAGACAGTACATACATGTTCAATTTGGAGGGTCTCATCCCTAAACTATGCCAATTGGCTCAAGAAGTCGGAGAAGATGAACGAGTTTTGCGTCTACGTTCTGCTGGACTTCAAGCTCTATCCTATATGGTGTTGTACTTTCTCTGCTTCGATTTTTACTATTCTAGAAGTTACTCATTCACTCTCTGAAGTTTAATTGTATGAAGTCTTTCCTTTCTTGGTTAATTACACACTAGAAACTACATATCCTTTTTTTTTTTTTTTAAACGAAACTCTCTGTGGATGAGAATATAACTGGAAACATGATGATACACTAAAGAGTGGAGGGGATTGTTCTTCAAGATATGGTCCTTGGCAGTTTTAGAAATTATTGATAACAAACCATATTGAGATAAAATATACTGAATATTTAGCCTCTTGATAAGAATCTGCAACTCCCTTTACTTTGTTAATTTATATATATATTTCGTAAATGAATTAGACTTTGGACTCCTTCATTTGACTAATTAATCATACCATACTTGTACCAAGAACTGTGGCCATGGATGACTGACATATGCACTGACACAATATAAAGTTTTAATCTTAGAAAATTGCATCTGTGGGATGAACGAAAAGTTTTTTTTTTTTTCAAATTATTCATTTTCATATGTAAATTTCATTCTGGTTAGATTATAGTGGTTACCTTATTCATTATACATTATCTGTAAATCAAATGCTTTACAAGGCTGTTTATTAATTTCCCTCTATTTTCTGTGACTAGGTGCAATTCATGGGAGAGTACTCACATCTTTCCATGGATTTTGACAAAGTGAGTATTTTTTTTTATGCTTTGACTGGTCAGTGATCGCCTTAAAACAAGAAAGTGACGTACACCAACAAGATGCATTAAATCTTCAGAATTAACTCTTCAGAGCATTAGGTAGCTTTCACTGATCTAGATTTCCCTTTTGTTTCTTGTTTGGGTGGGTGGATCCCCTCAGATTATATCTGTGACATTGGAGAATTACATGCATCTCCAAATGAAAGTCAACCATCCCGAGGTGGAGAGGCTTACTGGAACTGGGATGGACTTCATGTTGTAAGTCTTATCTTACTCATCTCTCCCCCTGTTTTGTAAGCATTTTTCATGATTCCAGGACAACCTTTATCTGTTTACCATGTCAACAGGGATACTGCCAAGGATCCTGCTTATTGGTCAAAGGTTTGCTTATGTAATATGGCAAAATTGGCTAAGGAAGCTACAACTGTGAGGCGTGTTCTTGAACCACTTTTTCATAATTTTGATACTGAAAATCAATGGTCTCCGGAAAAAGGAGCTGCTTGTTCTGTTTTAATGTATCTGCAATCCCTTTTGGCAGAATCAGGTAGACTTGGAATATTCAGTGCTTAACTTTTTCTTGAACTGAAGTTTTCTCTAAATTTCTCTGTATTAATTGGTCACTTTCTGACTGCCAGGAGATAACTCCCATCTTTTGCTGTCCATTTTAATCAAGCACTTGGATCATAGGAATATTGCAAAGCAACCTCTTCTGCAGATTAATATTGTTAAGATAGCCTCACAACTTGCAGAACATGTTGAGCAGCAGGCCTCAGTTGCAATTGTCGGTGCGATATCTGACCTCATTAAACAGTTGAGGAAGTGCTTGCAAACTTTAGCTGAAGCTTCTGTTGCTGGAAGTGATGAACATAAATTGAACATTGAACTTCAGTCTGCTTTAGAATCGTGTATATTACAACTTTCAAGCAAGGTACGAATCACTTTTTTGTTTGTCTTTTCCAGCTGTTTGCTTACCCAAATTTCTAGAAGAGCCTCCCCAATACCCCTCCCTGAGGAAGTCAAAAAGAAAAATTATATATGAAAAAAGATCCTCCTTCTCATATGGATACCTTGATGTCTTGATTTTTGAGGAGTCATATTCTAAGAAGGGTTACTTCTCAAGATTTTATATGTGAGAGTGGCTTCATCCTTCTGGGCAAGTTGGCAACTGAGGGAAAAACTAAAATCCTGAACTTTATGAGATCCTCCTTAATCTGATTTCCTTCATAAGATCTAGTTTGATGAGTCTAACTTACCAAAAACTGGAAACTGAACCATGGAGATGCAAATATATGATCACAGGTCCTTTTTCTCCTCAGATTGGTACCTCTCATTATGCCTCTCAAGAATACATGCTTTTTAATATTTAACTGCTTTTCATCCATGTAATTCCTCGTATTGAGAATAAGTTACCGCCAGTTGCAGACAGACTAACATATAAGCCCATTTGACCTTATCCACAAACTCCCTTTGGACGATGATGGGAAAAACAAAACCGTTTTCCTTAACATGGCAGTGATTGCTGGATGAGGCAATGTGCACTTGGGAATCGCAATGAGCAGCAGCTGTATGAGGAGCAGAGGATCTGTTTAGGCAAATACATTTTGAACCTCTTATTCTGAACGAGCCCCAAAGCCTCTAAGTGTCATTTGGAATAATACTTGTATCATCTTAATGGTTTAATATGGAAAAGGAAGCCACTTAATTTTCCTTCCCATGGATTTACAATATCGCTTGTGTGAGGAAAAAGAGTATTATTTTGTTGCCGCATTCTTTTTGGATTAACTATGAAATTTTGAAATGTCAGGTTGGGGATGCAGGCCCCATTCTTGATATGATGGCAGTGGTGCTAGAGAATATCTCAAATAGTACTATTGTAGCACGAACAACAATCTCTGCTATTTATCAAACTGCAAAATTAATCTCTTCTATCCCTAACATATCATATCACAAGAAGGCAAGTACTTTTTATTTGGACTGAAAATTGGCTTTTCTACATCCTAAACACTTGTAAAACAACTGTCTAAACATTAAGGTTTTTTTATCGAAATGTCCAGGCTTTCCCAGATGCTTTATTTCATCAGTTGCTTATGGCAATGGCCCATCCAGACCATGAAACACGAATAGGGGCACATAGTGTCTTCTCTATGGTGCTTATGCCATCCCTTTTTTCTCCATGTTTAGACCAGAAAACAAAGATGATTCAGAAGGTAGAGAGTGAAAGCTTTGCCATTCATGATCAAAATTCTGTCAGTGTGAAGAGGGAACCATCAGAGGGAAAGACAAAAGCAGGTGTCAATGGGAAATATGTTCCTAATCTATTTTGTGTTCACAGCTTCATGCGTGCTCTCACCGATGGAAAGGATGTATGAAATTTCTAATCATCATTATAAAATTGTATTAGCAAAGATTTGAGTCATTAGATTCTGATATTTATTGTGCTTAAAAAATGTGGTGTATCTGTAATTTTCAGGAGCTGAGTTCTCTTCGATTGAGTAGTCACCAAGTGAGTCTTCTGCTCTCTTCAATCTGGGTACAGGCAACTTCTGCAGAAAATGGCCCTGAGAATTTTGAGGCAATGGCTCACACTTATAGCATTGCTTTGTTGTTTACTCGTTCTAAGGTGAGATTAATTGTGGCCATGACGTTTTATTCTATACAGTTGGTAGGGAAAATAATATGCTTCTGTTTTTCATAAACAAGTTATTACTTATCACACAATTTGTTAATCACGAGGTGGAAAATTACAGGGATCCTTTATAATGCTATCTCATAATCATATATGGGTTTTATTCTATATAATTAGTAGGGAAAATAATATACTTCTTTTTTTCATAAACAACTTATTACTTATCACACAATTTTTAATCACGAGGTTGACAATTACAGGAATCCTTTATAACGCTATCTCATAATCATATATGGGTTTCTAGATAGCGTCCATGGCCCTTTTCTTACGAAAGTGTTGAAAGTGTGATACTTGTTCTGTAATTTGTGCTTAAGATTTTGCATTATGAGCTTCTTCGCTCCCGATGCTGTCCCTGGCTTCTCAAACTTGTTATGGAGAAATATTTGATGATGTTTGCATGTTTGTCTGGTGTGATGAAGATAGAAGCATGTCTCATTGTTTAGAATTTCTGGCTGCAACGACTGATGATTTTGGGACTGCTTTATGGGATTATTCCCAACAGCTAATGCCTGTCTATTATCTTTCGCTAGATTTCACCTTTGTTGTTTATAACTAAGTTTCTCTTGTATACAGATTTCCCAATGAGTATTTTGACTAGGTTTGAAATGAGTGCCGACATTGTATTTAAATACTCCTCCGGTCCTTATTATAAGACCCAATTTGACTTTTTATTTGGTCCTAATTATAAGACCCAATCCATTTTCTCTCTTATATTTATGCATTTTTTTCCAAGATAATCCTTCTAATAATGATAGTTTTAGCCAATATACTTAATTAGCAAGGATATTTTAGAAATAACAACACTTATTTATTATAAATAACCATCTTAACTTACTTCCTTAATCTCCTCAAATAAGTCAATTGGGTCTTATAATTAGGACCGGAGGAGTATATAGTTTTTTTTAAAGGAACTTTTGTACCTCTCAGAAATGGACAGCTAGAGCACATATCATCATCCTTTTTCCTTCTTTGATAGCTAAAGACAGTTTGACATGATTAGTTTCTGCCAGTTTGTGATGATTGAATTGCTTTCCACAGACATCCAGTCACATGGCTTTAGTAAGATGTTTCCAACTGGCATTCTCCCTGAGGAGTATCTCTTTGGATCAAGATGGTAAGTTAAACGTATAACTGAATTTCTTCTAGTCCTTTCCTCTTGTCGTCTTGCTACACTTTCTTTTTTCTATTATCTTTTTCCATCAAATTGACTTGGAATTATGATATATGGCTGCCTTTAAGGCTGAACTCTTTTTTCTAATGTTAAGCATCAAATTCTTGGTATCTAGTTTCCTGAAGTCCTTAGCTGTTCAAGATTATGACAAAAGCTCCCCATAGGCCTTCACTTAGTAGCTTATACTTGTGAATCAAAATGGTCCTCAATGCGATGTTAGAGCTTCTATAACCAAATAGTCAGGAGTTTGATCCTTTAACTAAATTAAGTTTCAGCACAATGCATGGTGTGCTGGTGCCTTATTCATACTTCAAGACCAAAGAACCATTGTCTGAGGAAGAGTGCTTGAGATTGTAATAAAAATTAGTCATAGCCCTTCGCTTATAAATTTAAGTAATTGAATTAACATGGTCCCTGACAATAACAAATGAACTGTATCTTATTTGTTCTATCAGAAAAGAGAGAGAGAGTGTGTGTTTGTAGCTTTAAATATTCTGATTTAACCTGAAAATCCTGAGTGCTCAGTTTGTCACCCTGCTAAAACTTGATGATAGTCTTGCATTCTTTTCACGCTTAGTATAAATATATTCCTTGCTTGTGTTCTTATAAATTGCTCTGGATGTTTCTTTAAGGAGGCTTACAACCATCACGCAGGAGGTCTCTTTTTACTTTGGCGTCGTACATGCTTATATTTTCTGCCAGGGCAGGCGATTTCCCTGATCTGATTCCAGTTGTTAAGGCATCCATGACTGACAACACTGTAAGTTTCTTCACCCAATTTCATAAATTGAATCATATTCAGTGTCTTTGTTTTTTAGTTTCCTTGTGAAATTGAGATTCTCAATCAGTCCACATTATTTATTTTGGTTAGGTTAGTTAATTGGATTCATAAATTTGCAGGTAGATCCTTTTCTTGAGTTGGTCGATGACATCCGACAGCAGGCTGTTTGTATAGAATCAGAGAAGATATCTTATGGATCTCAGGAAGATGAATTCAATGCTATGAGGTCGCTTTCAGCTGTAGAATCAGATGACAGGCAGTTAAAAGAGACTGTAATATCATACTTAATGACTAAATTTGCAAAATTGTCAGAGGTAAGATGAATGGTTTTATCTCTCATTTGTTTCCGCCCAGCTGGCAATTTTGCTGGAGTCATACAAGAATACTGTGAATTGATCTTCAATTTTCTTTCTGGTTTGCATTGGACAGGTTGAGGTGTTAAGCATGTCAATGATGAATTTTCTGCTCACCTATGAATAACACTGTTGAATTTGGTCTTCTTTAGAGATATTAATATAGTGATTTATGGGACGTCTTCTAGTAGTTTAGCATTTAAGACGAATCAATTCTTCATGTGTTTTTTTATGTTTAATGATTAAGTGATCAGGAGCTTGATCATTTGCACGCAATTCTTTATACATCAGTTTCAGCTCAAGAAATAGTTGGGAAATGCTCTCATTCATGCTTCCATCTGAAGGTGTTTAGCGTAAGGGGCCATATCTTATAGATATCCATAAAACCATTCATAGGCCTTCTATGAGTTTAGCCCTTTAAGATGGATTGGTAGTTGACTCACTGAAAAATGAAAATGTCACCCTCCTCGTGGTTGTATTATGAGTCGATATATGGACCTTCTGATTGGAACGACACTATGACAGGTTCTGCGCAAGGGAGCACCATCTCACCAGGGTGACTTTCATGAGCCATTATTACATTTATAATGGAGTAGCAAATTTCATTGCAGAATAAAGACTATATAAATCTGACTTGGTTTATCTAAAAAATATTCTTATATCCCTTGAGCAATCAGTAATGTTATTTTAGGTGCAGATCGCCAATTATATAAATATGGGGAAGCTCTACCTGTGCGAGTACAATTGGCAAAAGAAATGTAGGAAAGAGGCTTTTTTTTTTTTGGGGGGGGGGGTCTCTGTTATGGTGCGTCTTTTTCAAGGAAATATAGAATAACAGGAATATTTAAATAGGTTTGATTCTTTATCGGATCATAAAAACCCACTCTCCGAAGATCTCTCCCCTCTCTTCGGGATCGAACATCAATTGCAACGATTCGACAAATGGCTCATTGGGATAGATAAACAATACACCCCCCTAGATAATTGTTACTAGAATGATATGATAATTGTTACACCATTGGACTTTTGAAGCTATATATATTAGAATTTTATGATAGAACGAATTAAATTTCTGAGCAAGTGTTTAATACACGAGGCAGTTAAATGGTTGCTCTTAGTACACTTTTTTTTAAATTAATATTCTACTGATGTACTGTATGATGAATTTACAATAAAAATAAAAATATTTTGCCAATGTGTTCAAGTGACAAGTGCATACACATTTTTTTCTTGGAAATGATCCGTTATGCCAATCTTTTCCTTGTTGGTCAGGATGAGTTGTCCGGCATAAAGAAGCAAATTCTACAGGGCTTTTCACCCGATGATGCATATCCATCAGGACCTCCTTTGTTTATGGAGACACCACGCCCATGTTCTCCGCTAGCTCAAATTGAGTTCTCAGACTTAGAAGAGGTAAAATCTTGAAATTGCATTTCCATTAAAGTGCCTTCTGAAAAGATTTTCTGTCTGATTAGTTCGGTGATTGGTTGTTTTCCAGATCATGGCTCCAGTGGTTTTGATGGATGAAGAGATGGAGCCCGAACCAAGCAGAAGCCAGTCAGATCGCAAAACATCACTTTCTTTCAATAACCCTGACGTTCTAAGTGTTAATCAACTCTTAGAATCGGTAATGCTGATCTTTAATTTTAGAATTTGCTAGGTTCCATGATATTGTGTTTTGAATCAATTTATGATGCTTTGGCTGGAGACTATGTGTCATCCTTTTAGATGTCCTATGGGATTTTTCTATGTATAGGTTCTGGAGACTGCCCGTCAAGTTGCTAGTTTCCCCATGTCATCAGCTATTGTGCCTTATGACCAAATGAAGAACCAGTGCGAGGCGCTTGTGACAGGGAAACAGCAGAAGATGTCAATTCTTCACAGTTTCAAGCACCAAGAAGCTAAGGCAATGGTTCCTTCAAGTGAAAATGAAACACAATTTCCCTCCTTACCAACTAAGGTGATCACTTTCTTATCATAACTTTTGAAGTTTATTTAAAAGAGAAATAGTTATTACGAAGGAATTTATTTTTTCCAAGGATCTATTTGGCATTTAATTGGTTTAATAGTCAACTGAGTATTTAAAGTGTTCTGTTATGCATGACAATTATTGTTGCTTTCAGCGGCACTATTTTTTTTTTTTAAAAACCCGGGGGGGGGGGGTGTTGGGGGATGGTTTAGCGAACTCCCTTTTCATGAAGTAAAATTTTTGTTGAGCCCTCGGACTTGTCAATGGTGCCACCTGGTTGTGAAATTCCACGAACAATTTGGATTTAGTTTAGATTGTAGAAAGAATAAAGAACCATAGAAAATCTTGATATTTGAACTGCGGGACTTAATTGGGAGTGGGGCTTGTGAATATTTGAACAGAAACTCGTTTTCATTTCAAAATCTGTGCTTGATATAGCTGTTTGACTTTTGGCCAAAAAAACAAGGCATAATTGTTTGCTATCCTAGTTTATTAATTCACATTGCTTTTGAAACTGTTGTCGACATATCGGTGATCAACTTGTCACTGAAAGGATAGAGAGAGAGGGGAAAAAAATTGAGTTTCTCATAGACTGAAACTCAGCATATGTTCCTTTCTCATATGACTCTTAACATGGTAGGAAAATTTATCCTTGTATACGCTCCCAGTGTCGCCTGCATACTATGTTATCCGGGTCCAGAGTCAATGAGAAAATTTTATGATTTTTTATAGGGTTAATATAATTTTTGGTCTCTCAAGTTTACTCTCATTTTGGTTTTAGTCCCTCAAATTTCAAACTATAGGTTTTAGCCCTCAAGTTTCAAACCATAGGTTTTAATTCCTCAAGAAGTAAAATAGTCAAGGTATTTATTAAATTATAAGCACCAATGTTTTCGACGGAAAGAAACTTGAGGGGCTAAAACTTATAGTTTGAGATTTGATGAATTAAAACCAAAATGAGAATAAACTTGAGGGATAAAAAATTGTATTAACCCATTTTAATTTTTATTTATCTATAAATATTCATAACCTCTTAAGATCTTTGATGTTTTTTTTATCCTTTTGACATATATTCGGAGAGGGTATGAGCCTGTTTTGTACGCGTGGAGTTTATATATTATACCATCTATTTACATCTCCCGGGAATTTTGCTATTTACTACACCTTAGGCTGTACCATGAATCCATGATTCACAGCAGTCAGGCCCCAAGGGCAGGGCCGCGCATAGAATATATTGATTCTTAAAAACATTGAAACGATTATGGTTTGATGCATCTGCGCTGTCGTGTAGACTCTGGAATGTTCAAAAGGAGATATGGCATTGGCCACTCTGGAGCAAAGTCAAGCGCAAGATAAGGTTCGCCTGTTTGCACAGTATGACCCTGGACAGCAGCATACTTTGAGACTACCGCCGTCAAGCCCCTATGACAAGTTCCTGAAAGCCGCCGGATGCTAATAAGTTTTATTTATCATATAGGTGCATGTAACTATTTAGATCTCTTATTCTGTCATTTGTTCCGTCTCCCAAGCAGTTAGTAATTTTTTCATTCTTTCCTGTAAGTGTTCAACTGTTCATCATAATTCTTTCTTTGGACGTTTTCTTACCATTCGTGCCCACCAGTGCATATGCTAGTCTTTTTTCTTTTTCCGTTGTGGGGAATGGGGACAAGATTTTTCTCCCCAGCAAGTGCATGATTTTAGTGACAATTATCTATACAACTGGTAACGATCTATACATCTAAAATTAATTTTTCTCTTGCGCATATACTCCCCCTGTTTCAAATGTGAGGTATATTTTGTAAAATCTTATAATTTAATAAATGTATATTTATCAATAAATGAATGGGATAATTAATCTCTAAATCCTTATAATTTCATCTGATTTTTAATTGGTTCCTTATAAATTTTTTCTTTTTATCAAATCCTTTTACTTTCATGTGTTTTTAATTAGGTCCTTCTATTTTTTTTTTTAATCAGGTCCTTATAGTTTCGCTTATTTTTTAATTAGGTGCTTTGTAGTTTTTGAAAAATTATTTATTAACTTTATTCTTTACAATTAATTTCATTTTTAAATTAATAATTATATAATTGGACAAAATAATTAATATAATCATTTAGTAATTAATAAATAATCAGAATAATAATTATACTTAAATATAAATTATTTATAATCATATTTTAATTTTAGAAAAATTTATTATTATAATTTGAATTTTATAATTATAAAAATTCGAATTGAAAATAAATAATATATTTGTTTAACTAAAAATTTAAAAGAATATTAACATAAGATTGTTACAATAATTTATTATTTTTAAAATGTTATTATTTGTAAAATAAAGAATAAAAATTACAAGGACCTAATTAAAAACAAAGTAAAACAATAAGGACTTGATAAAAAGAAAAAAAATTATAAGGACTTGATTAAAAATATATGAAAGTATAAGGACTTGATAAAAAAAAAAATTATAGGGACTTGATTAAAAACCAATTGAAACTATAAGGACTTATATATTAATTATTCCTAAATGAATTACCTTACAACTCATGGTTTTGCAGATGGATCCCAAATGTCACGGGTTGCGGTTATGTGCGGGATGATGCTGTTTGATATATTTGGCAAAAATTATAATTTTGATGAGGGAAAGGAGACAATTTTTATTAATCAACTCCAAAAACACGTAGATAACTTGATTCCCTTAATTCTTGGATCCCTTGAGGCAGTACAACCTATCACATTTCTTAGCATTGCCAATATTTTCCCCTGATTTCCACATTCCAGGAAACACAAGCGGTATCAGATGAAGCACCTAACTATTGCTCAATTACTCAGAACCCAGTGGACATGGCTACGATACTGCTGCATGTTGATGTTATGTCCACTATATTGCATGTTCAGCATTCTTAGAAGACGTTTTCGGTTTTATAAAAGTTTTCATGCTTGCTTTTTTTGTTTTGGAGCCAGGCATACGTGTCATTCTATGAAAAGTAATTCTTTCAAATAAAATTTAAATTTTGATTCACTACATTACAAGAGTTTACCATCTTTACTCGCCAACAAATGCACAAATATATTTTTTGCTCCAAAAAAAAAAGGGAATGTCGGCAAATATATTTTGACCCAAAAAACCAGCTAGATAAGATCAATTTTTGCTCGGGAAGATAAAAATTGACGAAGGGATAAACAGATGTCGATTCCATTACCTTGTAGTCTAATCAGCGTTTAGTGTGCCGATAAAGCAATTAACTCAGATCCATTACACTAATGTTGGTTGATTTTGTCAAGAAGTCCCAGTTACACACTGAGATCAGAGGCAGTTCCATTTCAGAGCATCGTAAAGGCTGTGATCACCCGCAAAAGACGACTCAAATATGCCATGTCTATGATTCCAACAGAGACAACCAAAACTAGTTTTGGGTTGATTTCGCCATACTTCTTAACTCGGCCAACATCTGAGTAGCGGCCGATTCTCTTGCTTCACGAGGATTTAGACACAGGTTACCCCCACATGAACACTCAAAGTCCGTTCCTCTAACAGTTACATTAGCTTCGAAACCACCTTCAAAGGGTAAAACCAATAGATCTTAGTTATGCTAATCCTTTTACAGAGACATATCTAATATATATGCAGACTTACAAGACATGTAAATGAGTAATTTGAGTATCATGAATGTTAATTAAAGAGTAATGCATCGTTAATGCTATGCTAGTAATGGTGCACTAACAGCATTGAAGTTCCCTAGAGTAAATCTCATTTGCCTCCACTTCTTGATTCCGCATCTAAATTAAACAGTCTTACCATCCAACGTTGATACCCGATAAGTTGGCAGGATCCAATTATTTTCGTGACATATACCATCTAGTTCCTGCAAGATAAGCAGATTTCTGATTACTTGTACGGAAATATAAATCCAAGTATTTGTATGGAAATATAGGAAAAAGGTGGCAGGGACAGCCTACATTAGTCAGTACTACTTTGATACTCCCTGCCCCCACTCTTTTCTGAGGAAATATATGTACTGTAAACATTCACATGTCAAAATTAAAAACGATTATCATGTTTTCTCTCTGTCCTTTTTTTTTTGGGGGGGGGCCCTAATGAGGTCAAACACCCATAGCTTATGCCTTTGCTCCATAATTTATGGATTGATGTACACCTACGAAGAAACTCACACGGAAAACAATCAACCTATATGCCTGTGAAGATTCAAAAATCTCACACGACTTGAATCTAAAAAATATTTAAATCCCTTTTTCTTAAAAAAAAAAAGCTTTTATTTAAGAGACAAACCTTCTACACTTTATATATCTTTTATTTTAAACTATCAATCTAGAAAATAGTCCTCAGATCTATTTGATTTTTTTTTTAATTTAACTATGCTATTCAAGATCTTAGACAAGATATTTGTAAATACCTTACAAATATATATATTTTTATTTCCCAATGTCTAAAGGATAATCCTCGCAGAGATTTGACTTATTTTATCATTCCTTTTGCTTTTATTATTTTTTCAATACAAAATCGTAAAAAGAAATATATTTATATTCTTGATTTTTGTTTTTTAATCTTTATTTGAACTATCTGGACACAATATAGTGTTCACACTAAGTAATTAAACCTTAAGCAAACAAGGCTTTTAAAGGGATGAAAGTAGCTGAGTGCACCATAGATGGAAGGTGGGATCCTTTTGCAATTGAAAATTGGCTGTCAGATAAGGAAAAGAAAGCAATTTACCCTATGATTGTTCCTAATAGTTTTGCAACTAGGGATAGGATGGCTTGGGCAGGTACTTATAATGGCCAGTTTGGTGTTAAGAGGGCATATCATTCGGCGAAGAGTCGTTATGGTCAAATAGGTCTGGCATGCAAGTTACTTTTCTTTCAAAATTAATGAAGCTGGGTTTCCCAGGCTAGATGTCTGGCGGTATGATGTCATTAAAAAGTTGAATCTTCATGTGTTGGTTGTACCCTAGTACCTGTATTAAGCTGGTACATATGGAAATCCAGAAATGAATAAACCATAACTTGTTTTCAGCTGCACACTCATGCGAAATGGGATCAAGGTTACTCAATCTTTATATTAAGATGAGGCATCCGGGATTTTTAAACAACATTATTTCATTAGGATATCTAGATTACCTTTTACATCTAATTAGAGTTTATCTCATCTCACCTTATCTCAGGATTTGTTTTCTGTCTTATCCTATCTTATATAGGATCAGTTAGCGTTAATTGCACCTAGGACTCTGAATATCCCTAGGGTTTCTTCACTTGTTAGGTCTGTTGGCAAATTGAATAAAGTTCAGATTACTTGCCATTTACTTTTCCCTCAATTTCTTCCACTTGTCCCTCCTTTCTCCTTCTCCCATTCCCACTTTACCCTCATCCTACATCACACAAGCGTCATAAGAAAATGAAATGTAAGAACTGGCACATGAATAGCACATCATGTCTTGCCTGGCATGCACTTTGCATAATGAGGACAGCCTCTGACAATCTTTTCCTCTTGATACATGGTGGAGAGCAATGGTCCTCAAGATTTTGAGATGTCATTCCATGCTCATTGTTGCAGCCTTCTATGATGGATTCTATCTTTAACTCCAAAGCACCCTCCCCACCTACTTTCTCAAGAAAACACAAACAGAATGGACGCTATCTATCACAAAAACAGAGATAAGATTTAAGATGAAAACCTATAAATTTGACTAAGTAATTAATGACTCAGGATCTGCCTCATAACAATAGAACATCAACAGAATTGCTGGATTGATAATACAGCTTATAGCTGATCCAGTGCAATCTTACATCTGAACTGCTAAGGTAAACGAGAAGCAAACAGGAAATTAAGGATGCTTGAAGCACCTTTAGATTCATTGATCGATGAAATTGAGATAGTTCTTAAAGAGTATGACCAAACAAGAGTATAAACTTAACTGATTTCAACTGTAAAGGAATACATTATTCTTCAATAAATTGTTTCTTGCATCCAAGGTGTTGGTTAAGTTTATGAGCACCTCCCCTCACAGAGTGATATAGGAAAAAAAATCTATTCTAAGTTATCAACATCAGCGGCCTTGCAGATGCCACAGAATCATATGATAGGTTGCATATGAAATCAATGAAAATAAGTTAAGTTCTGAACCAATGTCAGATCTGCAGGAGGGCTTTTTTGATATTACGCTTGATAAACTAAAAGTGAAAGACTTTCACTTGAAAAAATTAAGAATGAAAGGTGAAGATGAATTCTAGAAACACTAAAAAGCTAAACTTGGGAAGAAACCATAGTGATTAATTAATGAACCAGCACAAAAATATGAGCAAGCATTGCAATCAATAGTTAAATAAAAACATACCAGTTAATATTGTCTCAATTTTTTTATTGCACAGAGCAATCTCATCTTCTATCTTTCGTTGCTGGAGGGCCTGCACATAATAAAATAGCAATGACGTCAGTAAAGGCCTTTTAAGCATTCAAATGGTAGAAGTATGCAAACTTTTAGAATTAACTTGACGGAAAAAAATAAGGGTAATGATTATGAATGTATTTGTAGCAAACTTTTTTGAAGGTTTAAATACAAGTGACTAATATAATCGACAAGGTTGTGAACTGTGCGGCATCATTATAGTTAGATACAAAAGTTACAGTAGGAAGTCAGTTTAATAGATAGACGATGATAAAAACATTATTTATTTCATTTTTATGTGCAGATTCAAAGAAATTTTAGTCATTCATAAGCCATTACCAGCTCATTCCTCCTCCGAGTAAGAACTTTAAGGGAAGTTTGTGACAGTATCTCTCCCTTCAAAGCTAAAAATTTTTGGAACTTCTCGTGATCAAAATTGTTAGTATTGGACTGACTTGTAACCAGAGCACACCGATCCTTCGTGTCTTCTATTGATGAAGTGTTGATGAAAATCTTGTTACATGTGGCAAGACCGTTGGTTTCCTCTTCAGTGATATGTGTCATAGTCGTCACAACCTGCCAAACCAATGGCATGCAATCAGATGAAAGACAAGAAACACCAGGATAAAACTCAGCAAACTATTGTGATTGCACTACAAAAAGAGGCAGAAAATTCAAACATACAGGACTCAACTTGGGCTTCTTCATTCTATGTTTTTTTAAATTAATTTACAAAATTCAGGTGTTGAAATATGTAAGGCTTGTACAATTAGAATTCTACATATTTCTATTATATCATTTACCTCTAGAGACATGAAAAGGCCTTTAAAACAGGGGAATACAAGACATACTCTAAAATAAAAAATCACAAAATACCAACACACACCTGCCGTATTGAATGGGCCTTGAATGAAAATGATGTTAGGGAATTTATTTGTTATATTTAGTGAATATAAAATATCAGCTAGAACTTCTTATACAGATTAAGACAAAATAATCTTAATTTAATTGATATAAACTGAATCTACTCAGGTCACAGAATGACTTTATAAATATACCACACAATCATGCATGAGTTTCAGCCAGTTGATGATAGCAGGACTCATTGGAACTTAAACCTTCACATTTTACAGTTAAAGATTTCATTATTAGTTGTTCCTCGTTTACAGCCGTCTCTTGCATATCTAACTCTTGGATTCTCGAACCTGATCACTAAGATTAAGTCTCTTGAGTTCCTCTTATCTTGCAATCTTTCTATTTGAAACTTCCAACAGCCTAAGCTTCTAAAATTTTGCATACCCTAAAGATATCCTTGAACCCAAACACAAATGAAGGTATGACAACAAGCATCAACTACTAAGAGAAAGGCCATGTCTTACCGAATTCTTTTCTTGCTGTAATTCAATATAAAAATCAGAAAGACTCAAATCGTACAATCAGAGAAGCAAGAAAAGAAAGGCCCAGCACTGCTAACACTAGCAACTAACTAATGAACTAGTTACACAGGTAAATTTCTTGCCTTGGGAGCACTGGTATAGCCCAATGGATAATTTTGCACAGATGAATTTTTTGTTTCTTGAGTCTGTACGATATCGGCAAAATACTGACATTTTTCTTTCTGACATTTTTCTTTCTCTTGAAATGGAACAAGCGAACAATTTTCGACATCCATGCTTTGGAGCTCCCTATTACAATGAGAGGGTATGCCTTCACAGTCTTCACAGTCTTGATTATTTTCTTCCTGTTTCAGCAATTCAGTATTGTTTCTGCTTGGCCTGTTATCAAGACCAATAGACATATCCTCAATTGCACAAGATTCTGTCATTCTAGGACTGCCCCCCATCATAATCTTCTCTGTCGTCCTTGAATCTTGCAAACCATTCGAGAATGTTCCTCTGCAAAGATAGAATATATTACACATACAATCGATCTCATCCTATGGAGTGAGTCGCTATCAAAATAATAGTTGGTCAAAGGATGACAGAGGAAGATTATGTTATTGTGAGCCAGCTATAGTGAAGTATATGTGCCTGGATCCAATATCTAAAAACCATGCGATTTGTTAAAGCAATTAAGTTGATCCGTATTAGAAAAGCACCCCAAAATGATCAGTAGCTATTGGGGAAAGCAACAGATTCATTTCAAAGGTGCCACTGAACTTAGTTTTTAAACATGCTGGTAACTTAGCCTCCACTAATTCATGGAATTAGAAATTTTGACCAAGGCAGCTGAACATATGAACACAAGTATAATTGATGAAGCATTTAAAATCAAACAACATTCTAAATCTACTTTTCAAAAATAAGAAGGATAAGGCCCACCTAGAAAGCCACTCTAAGATTATTTTAGAATAAGGAAGCAAATGGAAGTGCTCTACAGCTGGGGTGACCGTCCAACTGCTAGTACTCTTCGTGATCAAAGGGCCCTGCAAGCTATCAGAGAAGACAAAATGTTATTTAAAAGAATATGCAATATCATGAGTAGGTTTAGTTCCTTAAGCATTAAAAAGCCAAACACAAGTATGTATTTCAAGAAAAATAAGCAGGTGCATAGACCATTTATGTGATCTCCTATGATGCAATTCTAAGAATAAGAACAAGAAAAGAACACGCCCATATGATGAAACTGCAACATACACTCTTGACTCTACCCAACAAGCAGCCGTGAAAACTACAAAAAACTATCAAAGCTTAACTATATCATAAGTTATAGCAATGCCAATCAGCCATGAAACAAGAATTATCAGTCAACTGGGAAAGTTAAAAAGGAATAACAATTAAAACAAACCTATCAATTACATCTTTGATAGGAACCTGAATAACCTCCTGATTGATCAAATGGGAGCACTGCATGATCAAGAAGAAGGAAGCTGTCTTCTCTTTGCTGTGAGAGTACAGAGTGTGGCTTTCCAAGAGCATAACATTTGTCTGGTCAATACCTGCACCAGTGCAACCACAGAATAAAAATTAACTATTTACATATCAGCAAGCAATTAATAAACTAAAATTAACATAATAGTGATATATTAACCAACAAATACCAATATGACACATTAAGAGCCTCAAAATAGAAAGGAAAGGAAAGCAGCAGGTATGCAAAATGATCTAAGGATTACTTTGTCATTTTATGGAAGAAGTTCATTTTTCACTTGGTTAAATAAATTGGAAGCAAATAAATTCTTCTAGCAACAATGTCCTTTGATATGTGATTCCACTTTAAAAACATTAAAATTAAACTAAACTCTTCAACAAATGCAAACAACAAGAACACCAATCTTTTTGTAGAGGATGGATTATTACCTACAGCTTCCTTGACAGCAGAATAGCCAATTTGCAAAAGTCCAGCTTCATCGACATTCAATTTGTCTTTTGTATTCTTTCTAATAACTCTTTTCTTTTTTAATGTATATTTTGCTCCCTTCGTATCTTCATAACTTTGGCTGGAAAAGTCAACATCTTTTTCAATCACGGACCAAACTCCCTTAGTGATGGAATTATAAAGCAAAAAGCATTTCTCCTTCTTACAGTCTATTAAAAGGACTGTAACTTTTGCAATGGGCCATCCCTCTATATTAGGAACAGTTTTTGCCGCATCCAAACACATACATATATCACATGCATCCATGATCATTTTCTCTACTACAGAAAGTTGTTTCTCCACGTCATTGAGTTCAGTTTCACCACATTGTTGCATGAAATTCATATATGCTAACAAAGTTGGCTTCAGAACAACAGCCAATTTGCAAAATTCATCAAAAGGTAAAAATTTTAGCTCTGGGTGCTGTCTTCTGTAGTAATAATTATACAGCAACACAACAGAATGCACCTGGAACCAGAAATCATAGTCAACAAGAGAAGATGAGCAAATTATAAGTTAATCTCCATAACATGTCCAAGCATCCACATATCTGTCCAGTGATCATCCATTCTTTAACAAGTGAAAAGAAGACAAGAAAAATAAAAAACCAACAAACCAGTGTCTCAAAAAAGAATAATTAAGCCATCTCAAGTCAATAGGGAATGGCAATACGTCATTCTATGTTCCAAGCAGGAAAAACAAAGAAATAATGTAACTAGAAACCAAACAGTAGATCCTATCAAAAACAGAAACCATAAAGTGGCGAAACCGTAGCTACAAAAAAGGGATTCATTAATGTTGGGAACCTGGGAAAATCTTCTAACACCCAGCTTCCCTACAGCATGGCTAAGAATCGGAACTTGGGTTTGATTTTTCAAGAAATATACACGTTTTAACCTTCCTACCATTAGTGACCACTGTCCGCCAGCCCGCCCCCGGCCAAAAATACACACACCAAAAAAAAAAAAAAACTGGAATAGATTACACCCAGTAAATAAAAAGAAACCAGAAACAAAATTGAAAAGCTGTAGATTGGCATTAGAGAGGCCAGAACTCTTAGTTTATTCTTCGTCCAAAACAAATCCCCCGAGCACCAACCACTACCTATTCCTTGGTTGCACCGAACCTTCATAATATATCCCTCAAAATTTAATCTTTTAAGTATAGGCCCTGGCATATTCCCAATGACCAGTGGCTGCGGCCTTTACTAAATCAGGTTCTCCCCTTGGTTGTCAACTATAGATATTAGGTAAAAATGTGACCTCATTCTGAGAGATAGTTCTAGCAGTTGATTAATAATTAATAAGTTGTATAAACATTAAAGCCATCTCTAGCAATCTCCACATGGTGGAAAATACAAAAGAAAAATATAAAAGGCACCAAAAATAATAAGTTGAAAAAAGACACCTGGTTTGCAACTGACTGCTGTTGGGATGATGTGGGATTATCTCGAACAGATGATTTTGCAGGCAGCATTGGGTAAACCAAGTATTCTAGGAATGCTTGAATTGCATCGTCAGTTGGGCACACGTTTGATGAAGCCATGTCGTATCCAGTGACTTTTAGGTTCACTCACTCTGTAGTTGTCATGTGCGAAGAAAAATAGCAAAATTAAAGATTGAAGATCATCGCATACGCTTGTGCAAACAAAAGGAAAATCATAGGAGTATGATACATAATGCTAACCGGAATGCTTATTTTCAAACTGCGAATTGTAAAACATATTAACAGTAAAGATTCAATAGCAGATGGAAAATAACTGGAACGATAAAACATGGCTTATATGTATAATGCATGGGATACTGATAGACCGATGGTATATTGAACCCCAAGAGTTAAGAAAAGTAGCAAAACACAAGTCATAAATTATCTTACTAGTCACATAAGTAATTAATAATTGAAATAATCTCAAATAACATTATTCTCTTTGTATATAAGGGGGGATGAAAATTATGAACATTTCTCACGCACTTTAAGTGGGAAGTAAATTCTGGCTGAAGAAATAAAAATGGGAAGTAGACATATCTTATATACTTCAGCCCAGCTCATTAAACAGAAGCTATTAGAAAAAGGCCTAAAATTTTCATTATTATTAATTTATCATTTCTAACCTGCTAAAGAGCCTTCGATTTGAACGGTAGTTTCATCAGACCCGGCATAACTAAAAAGGAAGTTGAAGTTCCGTGAATAGAATGAGGTTGTATCTAATCACGTTAGCACCTATGTCTGGACATCAAATTTGCATTGTCTTTCAAGAAAATGTCTAATTTAAAAAGAAAACGAAAAGCTGTCATGATGACCATACGGAACCTTTAACCTTTGGGCTGACTAAATAAGAACTTAAGGAACAGCGTTTCCAAAGTTAATAGGAACAGCCATCACGATTAAATGAAAGCCAATTCATTATTTTAAACTAACCCCCTAAACCTAACTTTCCATCAATCATGAATGTTAGGATCGTTTCTACATTCCTGAACATTGTCTGCTTTCCACGACAATTTGACAATGAGGTATTCCAAAACAGAGACAAGGCTCTGCTTCGCAATATTTGCTTGCCGCAATAATAAACCAACTTGTTTGACGAGAAAGGAACTACACTGACGGAGAGGAGAAAGAATCTTGCTTGATCAGAAGTGTGTAAACACAAAAACCAAGAAAATCCGGAAGCAAAATGACATGTAGTCAAGGATCATAAAGTAAACTCGAAAACCCCAAAAGTATCCAAATGAAAGAGCCCGCGAAAAAGAAAAGCCGACGAAACAGAAAACTTGAAACGAAAGCAAGAAGTAAGAACTCTAGCTCACCGCTTCCTAGAGCCTGGGAGGTTGAAATGATTGAGGGAAACCAGTCAAGTGAAGTCCACTATTTTACAAATACAAGGCTCGTTGCTGGTCAAAAAATAAAAAATACAAGGCTCGTGATCCCCTGCCTAGCTGGCAAAAATAGTGATACCCTGCCTCCATTCACTGCCGATGCTTTTTTTTTCTTTCTATATTTTAATTCATAGTATATAAAATAGGGAAAATGACAATAAAATACCACTTGAATTCTAAAAGGACAAATAAGGGACCTGAATAAGCAAAATGACAAATAAGGCACTGGGTACCAATCTGGAATTCATATTTTCGGCCAAAAGACCAAAACGCCCTGATGAATGCGGGAAGACTGAAAGCTGAAAGTGAGAGAAAGGAGAGAGGAAGACCGACGCAGTGAGAGAAAGGAGAGAGGAAGACCGACGCTGATGAAATGCGGGAAGAAGGAAAGAAGAATGTTGGAAATGCTATTATCTTACTCCTTCGCATCACCATTCTGTAGAGATTGTTGATTTTGGTTGTGGGAAAGAGGATTTGTAGTGAGAGAGGGAGTGAACCGAAGCGGAAATCAGCAAGCAATTACGTAACGTAACTGCTGTGATATGCTTGCTGGTTTTTGGTAAATCCCATTACGTGAATGGTAAATTTCACTATACATGTAGTTAATTATGAATTTTACAAAATACATATTGTGATTTATAACTTTTGTAGTGAAAGTGACTACTTTGTTAATGGGTTTTGCAACCTGTTTTCAGGAGATAAACAACTTGTTTGTAAAAACTAATAAAAGTGACAACTTTTGTAGTCACGTTGAATTAACTGGTTGCAAAAGCCATTTAAGAAGTGGTCATTTTCACTATAAAAGTTGTAAATATCACTGTGTATTTTGTAAAATTCAGCGTCAAATTTTATTGATTTTTAGAAACAAGTTGCTCATCCCCTGAAAAGAGGTTGCAAAACTCATTTAAGAAGTGGTCATTTTCACTATAAAAGTTGTAAATATCACTGTGTGTTTTGTAAAATTCAGCATCAAATTTTATTAATTTTTAGAAACAAGTTGCTCATCTCCTGAAAAGAGGTTGCAAAACTCATTTAAGAAGTGGTAATTTTCACTACAAAAGTTGTAAATATCACTGTGTGTTTTGTAAAATTCAGCATGGAATTTTATTGGTTTTTAGAAACAAGTTGCTCATCCCCTGAAAAGAGGTTGCAAAACTCATTTAAGAAGTGGTAATTTTCACTACAAAAGTTGTAAATATCACTCTATGTTTTGTAAAATTCAGCATGGAATTTTATTGGTTTTTAGAAACAAGTTGCCAATTCCTTGAAAAGAGGTTGCAAAACTCATTTAAGAAGTGGTAATTTTCACTACGAAAGTTGTAAATCTCACTATGTGTTTTGTCAAATTTAGTAGGAAATTTTATTAGTTTTTAGAAACAAGCTGCCCATCCCTGAAAACAAGTTACAAAACCCATTGAATAAGTGGTCATTTTTACTACGGAAGTTGTAAATCCCACTATACGTTTTGTCAAATTTAGCGTGAAATTTTATTAGTTTTTACAAACAAGTTGTTTATCTCCTGAAAACAGGTTGCAAAACCCATTAACAAAGTAGTCACTTTCACTACAAAAGTTATAAATCACAATATGTATTTTGTAAAATTCATAATTAACTACATGTATAGTGAAATTTACCATTCACGTAATGGGATTTACCAAAAACCAGCAAGCATATCACAGCAGTTACGTTACGTAATTGCTTGCTGATTTCCGCTTCGGTTCACTCCCTCTCTCACTACAAATCCTCTTTCCCACAACCAAAATCAACAATCTCTACAGAATGGTGATGCGAAGGAGTAAGATAATAGCATTTCCAACATTCTTCTTTCCTTCTTCCCGCATTTCATCAGCGTCGGTCTTCCTCTCTCCTTTCTCTCACTGCGTCGGTCTTCCTCTCTCCTTATTCTCGCTTTCAGCTTTCGGTCTTCCCGCATTCATCAGGGCGTTTTGGTCTTTTGGCCGAAAATATTAATTCCAGATTGGTTCCCAGTGACCTCCTTGTCATTTTGCTTATTCAGGTCCCTTATTTGTCCTTTTAGAATTCAAGTGGTATTTTATTGTCATTTTCCCTATAAAATACTCAAAGTTGTATCATTATATCAAAATTACTAGCATGTAATTAGTTATTGACATTAGATTATTAAAAGGGTGGTGGCCTTATTCATTTGAGAAGAACTTAAAATATCAAGGGAAAATGACAATAAAATACCACTTGAATTTCAAAAAGACAAATAAGGCACCTGAATAAGTAAAATGACAAATAGGGCACTGGGTACCAATCTGGAATTCATATTTTCGGCCAAAAGACCAAAATGCCCTGATGAAATGCGGGAAGACAGACGCTGAAAATGAGAGAAAGGAGAGAGGAAGACCGACGCAGTGAGAGAAAGGAGAGAGGAAGACCGACACTGATGAAATGCGGGAAGAAGGAAAGAAGAATGTTGGAAATGCTATTATCTTACTCCTTCGCATCACCATTCTGTAGAGATTGTTGATTTTAGTTGTAGGAAAGAGGATTTGTAGTGAGAGAGGGAGTGAACCGAAGCGAAAATCAGAAAACAATGGCAAGCAATTACGTAACATAACTGCTGTCATATGCCTGCTGGTTTTTGGTAAATCTCACTACGTGAATGGTAAATTTCACTATAGATGTAGTTAATTATGAAAGTTAATAGTTCAATATTTATTGTGACGTACTTCAAATGCACGTTCACTGAATGATTTATTTATGCTTATAAGTTGCCTTTCCGGTGAAAACAGGTTTACAAAACCCATTGAAGAAGTAGTCACTTTCACTATAAAAGTTGTAAATCCCAGTATATGTTTTGTAAAATTCAACGTGAAATTTTATTGGTTTTTACAAACAAGTTGTCCATCCCTTGAAAACTAGTTGCAAAAGCCATTTAAGAAGTGATCATTTTCACTATAAAAGTTGTAAATATCACTGTGTGTTTTGTAAAATTCAGCGTGAAATTTTATTGATTTTTAGAAACAAGTTGCTCATCCCCTGAAAAGAGGTTGCAAAACTCATTTAAGAAGTGGTAATTTTCACTACAAAAGTTGTAAATATCACTCTATGTTTTGTAAAATTCAGTATGAAATTTTATTGGTTTTTAGAAACAAGTTACCCATCCCCTGAAAACTGGTTGCAAAAGCCATTTAAGAAGTGGTCATTTTCACTATAAAAGTTATAAATATCATTGTGTGTTTTATAAAATTCAGTCTGGAATTTTATTGGTTTTTAGAAACAAGTTGCCCATCCCCTAAAAACTGGTTGCAAAAGCCATTTAAGAAGTGGTCATTTTCACTATAGTGGTTGTAAATTTCACTATACATGTAGTTAATTATGAATTTACAAAATACATATTGTGATTTACAACTTTTGTAGTGAAAGTGACTATTTTGTTAATGGGTTTTGCAACATGTTTTCAGGAGATAAACAACTTGTTTGTAAAAACCAATAAAATTTCACGTTGAATTTTACAAAACATATACTGGGATTTACAACTTTTATAGTGAAAGTGACTACTTCTTCAATGGGTTTTATAAACCTGTTTTCACCGGAAAGGCAACTTATAAGCATAAATAAATCATTCAGTGAACGTGCATTTGAAATATGTCACAATAAACATTGAACTATTAACTTTCATAATTAACTACATGTATAGTGAAATTTACCATTCACGTAGTGGGATTTACCAAAAACCAGCAGGCATATGACAGCAGTTACGTTACGTAATTGCTTGCCATTGTTTTCTGATTTTCGTTTCATCTTTCCCACAGGTTCATCTTTCCCACAGCTTCACATTCTCTGAAAATGGTTTTATGCGAAGAACAGAGACAGAACCAAAATTTTTTAGAGAAATGCTAGGCAATAACATTTTAAGCTGTGGGAACCCATCGAAAATCAGCGTCTTCCTCTCTCCTTCCTCTCTTCTTCCCGATTTCATCAGCGTCTTCCTCCTCTCTCCTTCCCGTATTTCATCAGTGTCTTCCTCTCTCCTTCCTCTCACTTTCAGACAGGGCATTTTGGTCTTTTGGCCAAAAATCTGAATTCCAAATTGGCACCCAGTCTCCTATATGTCATTTTGCTTATTCAGGTGCCTTATTTGTCTTTTTGAAATTCAGGTGGTATTTTATTGTCATTTTTCCAAATATCAACTAACGAATAATTTTTTCTAATAATCAAGGATGGAGTATTTTTTTGGGGTAAATTTCATTCAAATACTAACGATATGACAAATTTATAAATTAAAGCTATAAAATTTTTAAAATGTCCTGTACGATGGAGGGATTATATTGAAATTAAATGAACCTGTGTGTTAGGCTTAAGACGCTTGGATTCCGATGCCCAAGCTACAGCTCCTGCCTGTTGGCGATTTCGCTCGGAGCTGTGCGTGATTCTTCACTTATTATTGGACGAATCAAATTCATTACCATGTCTGCCTCTGCCAGATGCTTTTCCAAAGCGCTTCCTTCCAAAAGCAATCATCCCATTCCCCCGCCGTCCCAAAGTATTCAAAATTCTTTACACGTTGCCTTTTCACCTTGATTTTCAAAAGCTCACTCGTTTCTTCTCTTCTTTTGCTTTTGAAGCTTCCGAGTCCTCGAAGGTGGCTTCAGTGTCCGAAGTTCGTGTCTTTTCCAGGAGCAAGAGAACCAAAAGGGCTGTGGAAGTTCAAGAAAAGGACCATGTGGCCATTACTCAGAACCAGGAAGTGAGTACTTATTACTTTTCGCCGCATAAACTAATTAATGCCTGTTTTCTATATGAACATTGCATTATTATTTCCACGTTAATGCGAGAATTTATGTATCAAATTACGGACCCTCAGCAGTCTCACTTCTGTGCTTTTGTCTCCATGTTCGCCTTAATTCTTTTAACTTTCATCTACCAAGACTAGTCTCTGATGGTGTAAATTGTAAACTTTTTACCTGAGCAGGAGTTTGGTTTACCTGAAATCGAAGAATTTGCATATAGAGGAGGAAAGGAACCTCCTAGTAAGATTGCTTCAAATTTCTCTGATGAATTAAAAAAAGGAACATATTTCTGATTTTCTGCAATTTTATCATATATTTATGGAATTGACAAAATTTTCCTTGCTGTTATGTTCTGGTGACCCTAGCTGAGAAAGTTTGAACTATGCATTAAAATATGATGCAGGTGGATCACCTACCAACTGGAAATTGGTGCTAGAAGGGATTCGCAAAATGAGATGTTCTGCAGATGCTCCAGTAGACACCATGGGATGTGAGAAAGCTGGCGAAACTCTTTCTCCTAAGGTCTAACTCTTTATCCTGCTTTTTATAAAATATGTGGGAAACAAGAAATAAAAACTCATCTTTTAGTTTTTGGCATTGGAACCTTCTCTCGAGAGTGATTGTCTGTATGTTCGTTGAATGAACAGATAGAAATGGTCACACTGACTTAGACTTTTATTGCTGTCATGTGTTATAGTCCTTGGCTTACATTCTTCATACAGTAGGATTGTATGCATTGCTATTGAAGCTTCCTAGTTTCAGCTTTCACTTGTAATGGGCATTTCGTTTAGTAAATTTATCATTAGATGACATTCTTGATGAATGAATATTTCAATTATAGTAAAGTTCTGTATATTTTACAATTCATGATATGGACAGATTTATTCTTATCTAAATTTCTATATATGTACAATTAGGAGAGGAGATTTGCTGTCCTGGTATCTTCTCTTTTGTCAAGCCAAACCAAGGATCATGTTACTCATGGTAAGTACATCTCTTGTTGAAGTATATAGTCAAATATTTTGTTTGTCTATGTACTCTAACTTTTAGTAGTTGTATGTGTTGATGTATTCTAAGAGCCACTGGTGTCTTTCTGTTCATAAACCGAGATAGAACTGACATGTCTTGTTGAAAGTATAGGATTACTGGATTAGCTGCATCAGCATGTGATAGAAGAATTCTTAATTATCTGAATGGAGCAAAAATTTTGTCTGATATTAAAATTGCACGAAGAGAAACTGAATGACATTGATATCTATGTGAGATGAGCAGTTATGGAGACGTGTGCATGGTAAGGATATTAGATTGTGGCTAATCTGTGCTTGAAATGAGGGATTGTTTAGACCTTTTAAACTTGTATTCCACCTACTCACGCATGCTGAAGTATAAGATAAATATAGAAGTCTATTAGCAGATTAATACAAGGTGATGACAACAAGAAGAAGAAGCCTTGTCCAACTAGGTAAGATTGGCAATATGAATTGCACAGCACCATCTTTCAACAATCAAATTTTTGTATATATTGTCAAACAAAAGGTCCTGTTAAGTTTATTAAGTGTTCTTTTCATTTTTTATATTTACTTTTTCATAGCACTTCAAATTATCTAATCTGCCTTTCTCACCGTTACCCTAACAACCTTATTTGTACATAGCCAAACCACTTTAAATGATTTTCTATCATTTTCTTTTTAACAGATGCCATGTCAACTCTTCCTTATATATGTCATTGCGAATCTTATCTTCTTCTTCTTCTTTTTTTTTTGCATGACTATATGTTCATCTCGACATATCCATCTCTGCTATTTAATTTTATGCTTTTGTTGTTTCTTTCAAATCCAACATTCACTATCATACAACTTGCTAGTCTTATACTAGTACTATGAAATTTTTCTTTAAGCTTATTAGGTACTTTCTGATTACAAATAGCTCATGTAGCCCTGCTCCATTTGAACCACTTAGCTTGTATTTTATGGGTAACATCCCTATTGATTTCACAGTCATTTTGTATAATTGATCCCAAATATATGAACTTTGTCACTTATGGTATGATATGAATATTTGATCTCCCATCTTAGCCTCCAAATCACTTCTAATTTACCTCTTATTGCCAGAAAGGAAAATTGAATGATGAGGGGAGGAAGTGTAATAAAAATATGATAGTTACCATATTTCATGTTTTAGCTGACTGATCTTTAAAGATAAATGTGTTGACTGGTAATTGCTAGTGGAACCATATTTGCTCTACACTTGTACTTTTGGCCTTCCAAGTTTTGTTTTCTGTCTGTCTTCATGTATGTGATTAATACTTGGTTTGATTCAAAAGTATGCCACCTTTCAACTTGCTTGTGAAACACTTCTAGTTACATGTATGTTTTTTCAAGAGCAGGAGCAATACAACGTCTTCTTCAAAATGGTTTGCTTTCGGCTGATGGGCTCAATCAAGCTGATGAAGAAACCATTAGAAAGCTCATTTACCCAGTATGTTCTTTGGTTGTTTTTTTAAAAGACATTGCTGCAAAGCTTTGAGTATTCCATAATTATGATGTTCTGATGAGGGCTTCTTCTGTTGTTATTGCCTATTTTGCACTGCATCTATTAATCTTGTGCTTTTTTTTTTGGGGGGGGGTGTTTAACCTTTTTATTCAGGTTGGATTCTATACAAGAAAAACCACTAACTTGAAAAAAATTGCAAATATTTGTCTCACAAAGTATGATGGGGACATACCTAGCTCAATTGAAGAACTGCTCTCACTTCCTGGCATAGGTCCTAAGATGGCTCATTTGGTATGGCTTATTACTTTTCGTTTTTGAGCAGCATTTTGCCTTGACTTTTTGAAGTTCATTGTATGATTGGCACTACAGGTTATGAATGTTGGGTGGAACGATGTTCAAGGGATATGTGTAGACACTCATGTCCACCGCATTTGCAATCGACTTGGATGGGCTTCAAGATCAGGCACAAAACAGGTTCATTCAAATTTGGTGGAATTGCTTTTGTGGTACCAATCAACTTTTTCCAATTTACGGGCTCTGGGGAATTAACATATGTTGTTTGAGTTATGGGCAAAAAAATATGGCGTTTGAGCTAATTCCAAATAATAAGTTTTCTGTATTATCTGGTATGATCACTTTATTCATGTCGTCTCCAACTTCTAGGTGATGCTGCTATTATGAGAGTTGTGTTTGTTGTTACAAGCTTTGAAGAAGAAACTGAAATAATTATCTGTGATTATCATAGATGCATATTCTGTGCAATCAATATATGTATTTAGAGCATGGAATGATTATTATTAAATCATATTACTCCTGTTGCTTTTTATGAGATAAAATCATATTACTCCTTTTGTTTGAGCTTATATCCTTAATTAATGTTCCTTACTCCATGTCCAATTTTCTATCCATGGGAAATACCGCTCATTTATTTAGTAGGTTGGACGAGTCTTTGAATTATTTTTAGGGGCATTATAGGGAAAAAAATATTAATTACTCCTAAGATTTTGTAAAATGTCTTATAAGTAGGAATTCAAGAATCTTCAAAATTTTGTCTTATTAAAAGAACTAAGGGAGTGCATCTAAATGATGTATCACTATGTCCGGACTTTGTTTGATATAAAAATCTGTGTTGGTCAGCATGAAGAGATTAACTCTTCATGTGGCTTGCTTTTACTAATCCACTTCTTTGCCAGAAAACGTTGACGCCTGAAGAAACAAGAGAGGCGCTGCAACGGTGGCTTCCTAAGGAAGAATGGGTCCCAATAAATCCACTTTTGGTATGCTCAGCTCATGCATTCTATTTTATCTTATTTTAGTTCCTTCAGCTACGAAGTGGGTGCAAGGCCTTAAGATTGGAAGTGGTAAAAGGGTGGGTTCAAGATTGAACCTAAGAATGTCAGATCTCTCACGCGCTTGTTTCTAGCTGTGGTGCCATTTGCGCCAAAGCTTTTTGGATTAGTTCATGCCTTTATAATGACACATGCTTCTTAGCAAATAAAATAAAATTTTCATAATTTGCGATGACAATCTTGCTGAGTGCATAAGCTCCTCATGCCAAGTGATATTCATATGTAATCAGAGATGGGATTTATTTTGGTCATGAATATTGAAATCACGATAATCAATATCAAGCAATTCATGAATCAAATGACATCATCGTATGCTTTTTTTTTTTGGGTGAAGTATCGTACGCTGTTTGTGTGTGCAAATCATAGCAAGAATCAACGAAGTCTGTGATTCTGCAGCAGGTCGCATTGTCAGGTTCATTATGGCCCATGCCACCAAGCTGCTAAACTAGGCTGAATCTGTTTTCTGGAAAAAGAAAACGAATGTTGAACCTGCTGGATGGCGTGATTGACCATCTATGTTAGTATTATAGTACATAAAGAAGATTTGCGTGTTAAAATAATTTCAGTCTCCCACTCTCCTCCCAACGTAAGAACTGCTGTGCTGCTTCCCTTTGTATCATACGAACTTCCATAGCAAGCAAACCTGCTAATGCCTTCTTCTCAAGTTTCAAGCTCCATTCCAGTCTTTATCTCTCAACCTTCACCATATTGAGTTTAACTTTGGAGTGTTTTTAATCATTATCACTTGCCATGCGTCCTAAATTGAAAGTCAAAGAGTATTGGTTTGGAAATTGCTTGCAATATAAGACATGTAGGTTCCTTTTATTTTAATGCTCATTAGGGAGATGAGCGCCACATTCTGATTGGCAAAAATATGTTGATTGTCCAACTAATGTTTGCTTGAGCTATAATCCATGATGCTCCTCTTATTTCCAGAGTTCAGCCTTCCTCTTTTATTATTTTGTAAAGGTGGTTCCCTCCTAAAGTCCAGCAATCTCTCCCTCCCCCCCTCCTTCCCCTCCCCCCTCCTACTAATTCAGCTAGCGATTTCAACTTCTAAAGCACACTGTTTCACCTTCTGTCATTGCTGGCCTTGCTGGAATTTTGGAGGACAGGGTTGCCGGGAAACACTCATCTCTAGCAACCACTTTTAAAGTTGACAGCTTCTGGAGATTGTTGTAAACCTGTGGGCGTTTCTTTTTCCCTTTCTTTTCGTGCGGTATTTCAGCATTTTCTGGAGAAACCAAATAAAACATGCTAGTCAAGCAAACATGAGTTGGTTAGCTATGTTGGAGTCCAACAAAGTCGACGTGTATACACAAAGCAATCAAAACAACTACATCAAAAACTGAACCTGGTTCTACCCATTTTTTTCATTTGTGCTGTTTTTAAAGGATATCAGTGGCAGTGCCTAGAGGGGAAGAAGCTGCTTGTGGTAGGACATGCTAATTGGGAAAGGTGCTTTGAAAAACTCTCACTAGCCTTTACTGGAGTTCTCTTCAATTGTTTAGAATAATCTCCACACTCTTAGTTGCTTCTTTTCTCTTGGAAACACTCAATCCTTCTGAATTTAGAAGTTTGCTCATTCTATTCATTTGATCAGCACCCAACTCTGCTAACAGAGCGTCACGAGAGAGATGATTCGCAGAAAGAGTAGAGAGAGAAGATGAGAGAAGGTGCTTTGCGCAAGAGAGAGAGCGATTTGGAGGGAAATTATAACCTCATCAGGCAAAACAATGCAGTTTTGCCTGATGATCATGAGGCGCACATCTTAACGACCACTAAGATCGAAGGGGCTATATATAGTGTATAATACGTTTCAAGGTATTTTAACTTCACTGATGAATCTTATGATTCGATTGGAATTTTTAGTGGTGATTTGACAAATTAATTGAAATCATGAGCAACAAAGTAATAGGAGGTTCACCAAACATTAGATTTGTGGCCAAGGGACACTGCCTCGTGTCTGCAGCCAGCGGATCGCATGTGTCTTCCTAGGAGTTTGTGAACTTATATGGTTTTGTTGGTTGTCTTCTGTTATTGCTGCTTTATTTAAATCTTTCTTGGCATCTTATAGAATTATCAATCATACAATATCATATAATGTGCATATTCATCATATACTAATGCTCTTTTTGCTTGGACATCATCAGGTAGGATTTGGACAGACGATTTGTACACCTCGCCGACCTCGCTGTGGGGAATGTAGTGTAAGTGACTTGTGCCCGTCAGCGTTCAAGGAAACCTCAACCCCTCTTTCCAAGTCCAAAAACTTGGGACTGAACAAGAAGCTTTAAGTTTGAAATGAATCATTCTCATTAAATTAAATATAAATATTAATACTTAGTGGGTGGCTGTGATAGATGGATCCTTATACGGAATCGCACCTGGATACTGATTTTGTTGACTTCACTGGCTACCAAAAGGAACCAGTGGTAACCCCCCGCGGGACTATAAAATGATTTTCTCTTGGGGAGGGGGAATATATTATAGATGAAAATGAGTGGTGATGTCATATTTTCCACCAACAGTTTTATAACAAAATATAAGTTCCAGCCTAACAGAAAGCATATTTGCTGGGCAAAATTTTACTGCTTGATAGCCCTAGGGGTTTTGCGGTTGAAAAGCTTGGGTGGAGGAAATCAAAAGGCTCTAATGGCTCAGTATCATTAGTTACACACTTAGCCATGCGTCTGGATTTTTGAGCTCTTAGTTTTTGTTGGGTATGCAGTCATAAACAGAACCAATGTACATCATCAACATCAAAAGGCTACGTGGCTTTTGGTTGATTTGGAAGAAGTCGCACTAAAAGGACAGCATGGGCAATATTACGATCAACATGAGGATTCCTAATTGCTCGATTTCAAGACTTATCTGGATATTATGTAGTAATTAGAGATAGAAATAAAATATTAGGGAAATGGAAGAATGAACAGAAATAACAAAACAGTAACAATATATATTTTGGGTATTTTTGCTAAGGTTAGAGGGAGTGAGATCATTTTTTACTCCCTTTGGTACTTATTACGAGGGATTTTTCAAAAGTTTTTTGGGTCTATAAAAATAAAATGAGACGTGATGCAATATTTTTGATGGTTGGGCATTTTTATTCCTGATCTTATTAAGGAGTCCTATTGGAAATTGGGGGATGAACCATTTAGGAGCAAAATTGTAATCTTAGTGTTTTTTTTTTTTGGACAAATTTACGAATGTAAACTATTATTAAAAAATGGGTAAAAATATTAAAACCAATGGACACTAGAGTAGCATGCAACACAGAAGACAAGTGCTGAACGCTTGCCCCTTCCTCCTTTCCTTCTCTTTCTATTTTTGAATGACTGAATCGCCATTCACATGATGCATCTATGGTCACTGTAACAATGAAATCATTAACATTATCGAGCAATCTTTTTTAATGGCATGGAACGTCGGAGGGAAGGAAGTGGAGAAGTCATCTTGATAACTCATTATACATGTTCCACAACTATACAATAATCGTTCACTCAGAAAAATCATCTTCAATCAAGGTATTCGGTTTAATGAAAGGGGCTGTGTACCCAACATCGCATACTATGACCATATATATCAGATCATATTTTCAACGTAGATGAAATACAAACTATGGATCACATTGGCTTATCACCTCATTTTTTTGATGCCGAGTTAGTTGCATGAGGAAGCATGCATTTACGCCAATTCCAATAGTTGGCTCTAAGCGGATCAACCCGTTCCAGGATTGAACAAACAGTTCTTGCTAGATCTGTATCGTGTTTATCTAAATCCGAAGTCTTTAAAGCATCCACAGCATCCCCAAAGTCTTGGTTAGCTTGCAGACCATGGCAGAGAAGATCCAAAAGGGTGCTCAGAGCAAACACATAGTTTCTCTTTGACCTCAAAATCTTCAAGCAAACTACAGAAACTTGGGGGTCATTCACCCATAACGTGGCTTCACCTCTGTAAAGTCCCCGAAGATATCTCCACGAGCTTTCATTCTCCGGGTGAGCCAAAATGGCTTCAACAGTGTAATGCACTTCAGATTCTCTCATAGCTTCCAGTCCCCCTAACACGGGTGATCTTGTTATGACAAAATATCTCTGTCATAAAGATTGAATGTTAACTTTCAGAATTTTCACGGAGTGGAAAGAAAATTGAAGAAAACGATATATGGAAAATGTATAATTTAATTTCGTCACTAAAATTTTAAGAACTTATAACCTAATCCACAGGGTTTACAGGTTATTTTAGTTGCTACCGTTAAAATTCTGTCCATATTTTGTCAATATTATCAATTCCAATACCCAACAAAATTAAGACACCGAACTGCAAATCAATTAAGTTATCATTACCTTCATGCCTGCCTAAAAGAGAACATTGACCTGTGGTGGCCAATTGAGGGAACTTAGAGAATAATAGGAGACAGTTCATTTTCAATTGCAAACTGTAGCATTCAGGAAAGTAGGACAAAACACGCCTGAAGATCTGTCTTTTTCATATTGTGACAAGATCAAACAGAACATGCATCAAAAGGTCACATACCTGATTCCAAGCAGAATTGTTAAAGATGTCTTCTTCAAGAAGCTCGCTACAATAGTTAAGCTCATATTCCCACCCTCCCAGTGCCTGAAGAACCCACTGCCTCAAGGAAAAGAGGGGCAGACAAGAAAAAAGAAGAACCAAAATTTAAGGTTTCAACATCTAAAACGTGTTCAAACTACAAAAAAATATTTTTCGATCAGTAAAAACAGAACACATTCATGCACACACGTTGTTTATGGCATATTCAGATTTGTCAAGCCTGATGGGAAAAGCAAGCATTACCTGACGATGGGACCATGCATGGTAATGTTTAGCATCAATAGACAATATCTTCTTCGTGAACTCAAGTTCTGTGTTTGCAGATTCAGGTCCTAACTTTTCAGCAACCCATCGTCTATGATGCCTACAAACATCTTTCATCAAGATCCAAGCAATGATGGGAGATTGTGCATGTGAAAAAAGTTAAGGATTTTCGATGCACCATGCAATTCAAGTAAGAAATAACTTACATATAAACTATAGAATAGTACAATGTACAGAACACTCAATCACTCAATTACAGAATGTTCTGCTACACATTAAAAGCCATTTCAGTGTAAAAAAAGCATTTGCTTAACCATAAAGGAGGTAACACAGAAGGCAGGTGATGTCACTAGCCAGCAGGCAGTATCTGTAGATAAATTGAACAGCACCCAACAAAATCTCATTGTGGTTTTATTACTAAAGCTCACTTCAGAAGTACCATAAGAAATTTATCATGATAATTTGGGTGGTAATGGATCCACAACTCAATATAACCACAGTTATGTAGTTTCATATTGAATGAGTATATTTCACTTCCCCAGGCGAAATCAATTACGAGACCACGCACATTTCGCATTTCTGAGGATTAAGAAGAGTGTCATTGTTTTAAGCTTTTAGCAACATCAATATCGTGCAGGAGGGGCTTTTCTAACAGATATTTTCTTTCTACAATACATCAATATTGAAATAAATTCCTAAATGCTCAAGGCTTCTCAGGCACACATTTGACACTTGAAAGTATTGAAAAACAAAAACCATAATTGAGGACTTCAGCCATCTTAAGCACATTTTCTTCATATTAGAGAACGCATCTTCGAAAATACATATTTTGGAGAGCAGAGACTATGACTAGTTTAGTAGAAAGCCCGGCTAAGTACGATAAAGTGATGCATAAACAAGCCATCCAAGTTTACTTTTTAAATTTTGAAATGAAAGAGAGATGAACAAACAGGGCCATTTAGGTTGTTCAACATGATGACAACACTATCTAATGCAATTGGGAGTGACAGAAAACAAGATGGGTTCCTATCGTGGTAGATACACAATTTAATCAATTCGATCCATCTATTATTTATGAACAGGGATAAACAGATTTGTTTTATGGGGTTGGGGGAGGACATCAATGATTTTTCTAACTCACCATATCTGATAATTTTTGGAATTGCCCTCGGATATACGTTCCAAAAAGCCTAATTCACTATGAAGGTCACTGCTCAGTGATTCAAGTAACATACGCCGAAAATGCCACACCTAAAGATTCGAAAGAAGTTATTCGTTGGGTGTAAACTCAATAGACCTGGTTGTAAACAAGCTGAGTCATGCAGACATAATACATACAGTGTAATTGCCAGGATTGAACTCAATGGCCTCAGCGGTCAGGCCAAGGGCCCGAGGGGAGCGCTCGTCGGCGAGGTAGACGGCTCGGAAGTAGTCCATGACTTCTGTAAACTCTTGCGTGTAGGCAATTGGCACCACGGGATTTGGGCCATCATCTTGCGGAACTGGAGTAACATCAGACCACTCCGGCCTCTGACTCAGCCGTACACGGTGCTGCTCTTCGTCGGAGTCGGACCCCATATCTCCGGGATTCTCCAACTCCACTAACACTGGTCAAATCAGATCCCGCACTAATTGCAGGCTAGGACGCCGCCTGAAAGAGGCTTCTCGTTATTGTGTGATCCTACTTGGACTCTGGGTAGGATCCAGTTCACTTGGGGGTAGCAGGTGATAAAACTATGAAATGAGGCTTATTCGGCCCAAGGTTTTTGGACAGAATGTGGGCCCAACTCTAATTAATGCTCTACAAAAACTAACGCTCTATTGTCACCAAACAAAAAAATGATGGGTTTTCGGCCGAAGAAGATATGGATTTACCTTTTTGTTTCTTTTTGCCGACTATTACGTGCGTACGGATTATTATACCATGCACATTAGAGAATGTTAATTTTTTAAAATAATTATTTAACTAATTTTTTAAATATTTATAAATCAATTATTCGGTTCTTATATTTAAAATCAAAGCAAGTATTAATTACTCCTCGATCCTAACTATAAGACCCAATTGACTTATTTGAGGAAATTAAGGAAGTAAGTTAAGTTGGTTATTTATAATAAATAAGTGTTGTCATTCCTAAAATATCCTTGCTAATTAAGTATATTGGCTAAAACTATCATATTAGAGGATTATTCTTGGAAAAAAAATGCATAAATATAAGAGACAAAATGGATTGGGTCTTATAATTAGGACCAAATAAAAAGTCAAATTGGATCTTATAATAAGACGGAGGAGTAGTTCTAATTCTAATAGAGAAACGTTGGCCAAAAAAAAATTCTAATAGAGAAACATCATTGACGAGGAATTCATTTTGAAATATTTCATATCGTGATTTAAAACCAAAATATTTTGGCGAGGCTCTCAAATTCTGGGCTCAGCTGAAAAGACGACGTCCGTTCTCTCATGGCCGCGATGAACAGGAAATGAAAACATCCGAGGAAGCCATCATAAGCCACCAACTCGCACTAGTACCCGGAGCGTTAATAACTTTTAATGAACCTATTGATACCTGGCTCTGAGAAGATGGATTAGGCATACTATTGACACACGCACAGAGTATGTCCAGAACCTTGACAGAGTGATGCTGCGGGGGAAAGCCAACCAGATATGGCAAAATTATTAAAAAAAAAAAAAAAAAAACGAACAAACAGAACTTAACGTGGAAAAAGGCTGAAGTCAAACATGAGCAGCCACACATAAAGAGATGGTTTTATATGTATTCGTCTTATTAATTAAATAAATTGACTTTTTATCCCAAAAAAAAAAAGCATTATTG